TGGTACCCAAAGAAAGGTCTTGTCACAAGGAATACACATGTGAAATATGAAAGCCGCCATAGCTCCAACCAATCAAAAGTTATGGGCAAGGTTAAAGGTTTTGCGGACAAACAGACAGACAGACAGACGGACAGGGCAAAAACTATATACCCCCGAATCTTCGATAAGGAGGCATAAAAATTCTGTCTCTCTACCAATCAACCCCCCCCCCAATATTTATTGATATCATTTGCCTATGAGCTTACTTAGATGCCGATGAAGAAAGATAATCTACAGTGTAGAATAAATTTGTGGTCATTCCATGCTTAAAACAAGATGTGTTTGTGAAACACTGATGCCCCCGTATGGCAACTTATAGCAAAGGTTAAACTTTCTCAAATGCAAATCAAATATGATGGTACTCAAAGTAAAGTCTTGTACCGAGGAATATACCTGTGAAATATGAAAGTCCTAGCAGCAACCATTGAAAAGATAGGGAAAAGGTTAAAGTTTTTCAAAAGTAGGTCAAACTCTAATTCCACGGTCAAAGAGTCAAAGTTGTTGGTATCCAAAGGAAGGTCTTGTCACAAAGATTGCATATATGAAGTATGAAAGCCCTAGAAGCAACTGTTCAAAAGAAATGGCCAAGGTTCAAGTTTTTTTTCAAAATTAGGTCAAACTCCAAGGTCAAGGTCAAAGGGTCAAAGTTGTTGGTATCCAAAGAAAGGACTTGTCACAAGGATTACACATGTGAAGTATGAAAGCCCTAGCACCAACCGTTCAAAAGTTATAGCCAATGTTAAAGTTCTTCAAAAGTAGGTCAAACACCAAGGTCAAGGTCAAAGGGTCAAAGTTGTTGGTATCCAAAGGAAGGTCGTGTCACAAAGATTGCACATGTGAAGTATGAAAGCCCTAGCACCAACCGTTCAGAAGTTATAGCCAATGTTGAAGTTTTTCAAAAGTAGGTCAAACTCCAGGGTCAAGGTCAAAGGGTCAAAGTTGTTGGTATTCAAAGAAAGGCCTTGTCACAAGGATTACACATGTAAAGATTGAAAGCTCTAGCTCCAACCGTTCAAACGTTATGACCAATGTTAATTTTGGGTAAAATTTTGTAAAACTGGGTCAAACTCCAAGGTCAAGGTCAAAAGGTCAAATATGATGATACCCAAACAAAGGTCTTATCACAGGGATGATACAAGTGAAATATGAAAGCTATAACTTCAACCAATCAAAAGTTATGAGCAATCTTAAAGGTTTTGCGGACAAACAGACAAACAGACAGACAGGCGGACATGGCAAAGACTATATACCCCCGAATCTTCGATACGGGAGCATAAAAAATATTCTAACAAGAGGAATGTTAAAACAAACAATGTATGTTAAGCAGTTCATCACTTTTTTTTCTCCTAACATGATCAAAACACATCCTTTGATATCAATGTCATTTATTAACAAGAGTATGAGCAATTAGTGAACGTATGGAAAATCAATTAATATTATTATCTTAAAATATATCAAGGGATAAAATTCCGCCATAAAGTTATTTAAAAAATAATATCGTATAGGAGTTGATTTATAAAATTGTATTCTTAATTATGCGATATTTCACAACAGTTCTTCGAAATGGAAATGTTTTCCGGGACATAAATTTTGGAGCCGTTGGTGAGCAGATGATACGGACCGCCACAGAGTCAAGTTTAAAATCGTTAAACAAACGACTTCCTGTAGAATTTTCATAATTTCCAAATTTGTCTCATTTTTTTGAAGTTTTGCATAAATATCAATGGAATATTTTATACAGGATTACACTGTCGCTGTTTACTGCTACTGATAGCTCCAGAATGCATGTCATTGTCTCGCTGCCGCCGCCAGCTGTTGAATGCTACTGCTAAATATCGAATACAAATACTGAAATGCATATGCTTATTCCCATCCCCACCCAATGACCCCCCCCCAAAAAAAAAAATAGGAGGGGTGCTCATTCTACTTAAATGAAAGCATCTATTCTTCAATGACAAAAAGTATATTTTACCGTTTAAACACAAGGAAGCAATCAGAAGTGTTGTAAGAATAGTCCTAAGGTCTTAGGATGGTCCTAAGATAGCTCTTAAGACAGACATAGAAGCTCTCTTAAGACTGTTCAAACTAGGATAGACTTTGAAGATTCTTAAGTTTTTAAAGTAATTCTTAAATATTGTAACATTGCATATTCTCTTTCTTATTTGGTGAATCAATAAAAAGGACCTCTCTCTCTCTCTCTCTCAATAATGAAGAAAATATGAGAACATTAAGCATATTGGAAAACTGAGAAAAAGTTTTAAAAGTTTTAGTTGGTACGGATATCCCATTTCAATAAAACTTGCTAATTAGATAAGTAATTTGATTTACACACTAACAAATAAAGGGAAATTTTTTTCTTAGCTATAGAGAGTGGTGTATAACGTATCTTGGGTACTGTCTCGCTATTAAGCTAGCTTTTCTAGTAATGGAGAAGAATCTCCCTCCATTTTGTAGAGTTACATGTAATAAAGCTACAGCAGACATGCATGAATAGCACTTGGATGGGTGAGAGCTTCATGTTACAGTATAACGTGAAAAAATGATATCTCATGCTGATTAGCATTCTTACGTGATCTTCAATTGAATAATGACCACTATAGCTATAACTTTAGACTTCAACGTACAATGTATATATTAAGGGAGCAGACTGGGGTTTTATTCTGTAAAAACTACTATAGAGAAACTCTTTATTTTTTTACCATATATACCTTACATTAATTTCGGTATACATGCCAAGTTTAGTGAAAATCTACCGTCTGGTTAGTTTTAGGGACCATCTCAAAATACATGTACACTTCTATAGGATTATATAGAAAAATACCATTTTTTCGCACTTCGGAGCAAATTATACAAATGCTACCATAGACTTTTTGCTCAAATTATATTATTTGATGGGTAATACAATATTGTACATTTTGTGCAAGAAACACAAAATTCTACCGTCTTGTTTCCAGAGAGGGCATCTCAAAATGTCAAAATTCATGATATTTTCCTGTTTTTATGGAGTATAACAAAACATGACAGATACCACAGATTTACATAAAAAATAAATAAAAATAATTGTTAGATCCTCAATTTCCTATGCTTGGAATTTCAAGAGCATGTATTTCATACCTTTTATTTTATGGCATAATCAATGACCCCACTTAAAGAAATTCGGTCATTCATAACGTCAGAAACAAACTATTACGACGTCCATCTACCCATCATTTGAAAAATCGTTTAAAAAATCAGTTATTTAAAAACGTAATAAGATTTTTCAACCTGAGATTTCCTAAATTTGTTAATTTTTATAAATTATGTAAAAATAGTTGCTTTAAAGAGTAAATACGCTTTATTTTACTATGCTGCGCGAAGTATTGCGCAATGAAAACCCCAGTCGGCCCCCTTAAATCAGTGAGCCGTTAAAGAAATCCTAACGATGTGCGGATCTAAAGGGGGGTCGGGGGTCCGGACCCCCCCCCCCTTGGAATTTGCAGAGTTATTAAAAGTATATACTGAAGCAAATAAAAACTGACTTTGAACCCCCCCCCCCTGGAAAACGTGGACCCCACCACCATCACCACCACCACGAAATAGGTGTTATTTTCACGAGTAGGAAAGGTATTTTTTGTTTTTGCTTGTCAAGAATTTTCTGCGTTTGATACCGTTTAGGGAAGGAGTTTTGTTTTTTTTTTTCTTTTGGCTTGTCAAGAAAATTCTGAGTGGGAAATTTTTTGAGCCCTGGAAAAAATCCCTGGATCCGCGCCCGCTAACTTCTTCGAAATGAAATTACAAATACTTCCGGACGTTTTACCAATCACCCTGACCAGACTGTACCATGACGTCACTGCTTTGACAGCTAGAAGTATCTCAAGCCTTCATGCATTACGTTACACAGCCAGGACGGACAAACTGAGTTTACTTTTATTTTCAATGTAGTAAAGTGGCCAACATCGACGTCTGGAAAGTACCTTAGAACTCTAGTATACCGTTTGTGAAGCCCTCCATCCCCTATCCCTCATGAGTAAACCTCCCCCTTGAAAATTAGGGGTTTTCTTATTTTCTCTGTACATATCTTTGGTTTGAACCCCCTCTCTCCCCAAAGAGGCTAACGGTTATTTCCCCTTTTCTTTTTACTTTTGGACAGAAGAAATATCCCTCAACCTTTCATTTCCGGTAAAATAATTTCTAAATAATGATATCAACATGATCAACTGATTCTTACTTTTTTGTTCCATTACATTAATCATAATACAATATAAGTATTCAACTTTAAATAATGTTATTCCAAACATTTTAGAAGATAATTCATAAAATACCGTAAATTAACAAAAAATATACTGTTTATCTAATAAAAATGTCTATTAGCATTTATGAAAAGGGGAATAACTCAGTTTTCTTTTTCACCTTGGAAAAATAGAAAATTGAGTTATTTCCCTTTTTAATGTCAATAAAATTGATCAATGTGGCAGTTTTTGACTTGATGCGGCGGTGCCTGAGACACTATTGATTGTTTTTTTTTTTGGACCTAATCTTTGGAATGATAACAAATACTCATCCTCGCAAGCCAGGGGTCCTGGGTCAACACGTTGCCATTGGACCCCTGGCATATTTCATTCAATATTTGTGGACTGACTATAGCGACGTCTTTCGGAAAAATTACAAATCTTGATTGTTTTTCTTATCTCTCAACCAATCACATTAAGCCATTCTATGATAAACAACTTGTAACATGTACATTTGAGGTGTCAACTGAATCTTTGTCTAACTATAAATGAAAGCTTTAATTTGATTGGTGCTTCTCAATGAGAGAAGCAAGCCCACGAATATTGAATGAAATATGCCAGGGGTCCAACGGCAACGTGTTGACTCAGGACCCCTGGCTTGCGAGGATGACAAATACTGGTTGAACTAATTTTCTTCAAAAATATTTTATTGCAAATTAATCATTTTGTTGTTTACAAAATAAAGAACTTCCCTAATATATTCTGTGTTTTCAACACAATGCATAATAAGAGTATTACATTAAGTATTACTGAATAATTTTTTTTTTTAAAGATACAAGTAAAATATGCATAATTATCACAGTTTGATAGGAGAATACTTTGTTTCCTAAAATTGCTTATAGACAAGGCACTTTTCTGACTTTTTTGTATAACAGTATCACAGATATTTTAAAACCACTTTCAAAACAGCACTATAATGTCTTGCTCAGTGCGAGTACATGTTCTATTAAATCATTCATACAAATGTCTACTTCTGTAAAGCTTCAGAATATTTATGTCCAGTACACACATGCACACACTTGTTTTCAGTATTTAAGTTTTACCCAATATTCATGAGCCAAACCAATTCTTTTTCTGCGTGAAAATTTACATGTACATTTTATAAGTGAAAGCTAGCTATAATTTTACTCTGGAAGACATGAAACATCCTTCAGAGAGAATGTGTGTATACATTCCTTGAAAAAAACTGCACACCACATAAGCAGGAATTTTATATTATATATGGTATAATTGCTGGATTCAAAAAGGAATGTCATACATTACTTTCAATTTTTGTCTCTAATTTCCAACAAGTAGGTTTCTTATTTCTATTTCATAACATTTAGTCACTTAAATACAATGAGACAATGGAATTTTCATAAAAAATAATGTTTTAACAATGTAACATTATATCTAGCATGAACAATAACTAACAAAAATAAGAAACAGGAACCTGGAATGGTCAAATGGTTGACAATGTAACATATGATGTATCTTTTTAAAAAAAAATATCATTTTTTCAGTCCTCACAATACATGAAGAAATATAACGATGACAATTTCAGCTTTCTTAAACCTGAACACTACAGCAAAGGATATTGCAGTGAATAAATAAAAAACATTTATATATATATATATTTTTTAACTGCTGCATGAAAACTCTTCTATAACAACAAAGTTTCCAACACCAACAAAAACTCCTCATTTTCTCATAAACAATCTTCTGTAGCAACCGTGAACATCACAATAGCTCAATCCCTGTTACTCACACAAATACCATCTTTTAAATATCATGAACAAATTGCTCTGAAGGGCAATAAGTCAGCTTCTTGAGTATAAGTCACATTTCACATGAAAAATGTATCCTATTCATTGAACACCTTGAATAACTGCTACATGACAATATCACATGTATAGCCATGGATACATTATATGGCACAGTCATATAAGCATCAGGCAGATAAACATCCATTACTGGAATGTGGTCTTAATGGCATTAAATGGACATCAATTTCAGGAATATTAGCATATCAAACCATGCTACTGTTTTCCTTAAAAAATTGAAACATGGCAGACTAAGATATCATGAAACTGCCATGTGGCAAACTAAGATGTCATGAAACTGCCACAGTGTAGACTAAGACGTCAAGTTAAGATATGAAACTGCCATATGGCAGACTAAGATGTCAAGCTACTGCCACATGGCAGACTTTTTTGAGCATGAGACGTAGCACCTTGCACTGGTCCTCGAGTCTGTAACAACGAGACACAGCATCCTTCTTTCTCTCCTCCATTAAGTAGAGAGCTTCCATCAAATCAGCGTTTTCTTTGTACAAGTCCACCACCAAAATATTCCTCTTCTCACACTCAGCATACTGTAAAAATGTTATATGATGTAAATAATACATAGGCATTTGTATTTATCTTAGAATTTCATGAATCTACTCCTGTGTACATGTATATACTTACATGAGCATTAATTTTCTCAAGCTGTTCATCCAACATCTTTTCAGTCAGCTTGAGTTTCCTAGTCAAGTTTGCCTTTTCTTCTTCAAAACTCTGGATTAGTCTCTTCCTCTCATCCTCCTTAACTATAAGCAAATTGACATGTTAAAAAAATTATCAAAACAAAGCATTACCTTGCAAACTTTAACTTCCACTACCAAATGATGTAGTTATCTAAAAAAGATTTTAAACAGGTATGCTGCTAATAGAAAATTTTTCTGTGAAGCAATTATTCAAAAGCAAATTTTGAAATGAGGTGGAGAACAGTTTCTGACAAAGCTTTGTATTAAACAAAATGCTGGCCTTCATACTATCTTAGGCATAATAAAAGAGTCTTTCACTCCATGGTGATGAATACATGACGTTTCAATAGTACATGGGCTACAAAATACTCAAGTTTGACTTTAAAAATATAGTTCAAAATCTCGTATTTCAATTTTGTAAACAGGACATTGATGCGTAAGGGCCATACCACAGGTAATAGTAAGAAGAGGCTTAGGTTTAAATAATTCTAAACAAAAAAAGCCTTTTAAATGATGTGATTAACACTATCTCATTCCCCATGACCTTGGACAAATGGCTTAGAGGCAAGAACATGGTTTAAATCAGTTAATGGACAATGATATATCCTAATGGTTGAATTAATTTAACTGAGGTTAACTAAGCTGGAGTCATGCCATGGCTTTCTGGGGGAAAAAAAAGGGGGGTGGGGTGAATATGTAAATCAATCCTTCATTTTACTCTTTACCTCTGAACTTTCGACACTTCTCATTTTCCTTGTTATCCATGAGTTCCTGTAGCTCTCTGAGCTGTCTCTGTTGATCCACCAGATCAATCTGTAGCTTGGTAAAGTTCTCGATGTCGACGGGACTACTGGGGCGACCTTTGACATACTGAGCATGCTGGGATTGGAACTTAGCTAGGTCACTAGTTGCTTCCTCCAACTGATATAAAAAAACATAGAAATATCATTAAAATACTGTTTGAACTTCCAATCTGACAATTATACTTAATTACTTACATTATGCCATGACGTCATAATTAACTTTGCTAATGCGTAAATTAATATTAGCGCTTCTTGACGTCACAGTAAGAATGTTGATTTTGTATTTATGTATAACTAAGCAAAATACTGTCAAACTCCTGAAGATTGAAAATGAAACCTGTAGAGTTTATTTCGGTGTTGTGTTTTATTTTATAGATGACTATGTGTGTGGATTCATACTATATATATACTATATATATATATATATATATATATATATATATATGGAAATAACTTTTGTAATAAGATGTTATCACAGTATAATATAGTGTAAGAGTTATTACATGTATTATATAAAGGGGAGCAACTCTACACATAAGACTTGGCGGTATATACACACCATCTGAGTGACTTTCCTGAGTTCCTCCTCTAGTCTTCCCTTCTCTAACTGTAGAGCCTGCATCTTCTCCTGAATCACAGATTACAAACATATCAGTACAAACAATCATAATAAACATGAAGTGTGCTAAAATGACAAATGCTTCATCTTTTACAGACTGTTTTTAAACAATGTAGTAAATGGTTTGTGTGCTTGTTGTTGTTGTTGTTGGGGGGGGGGGGGGGGGGGGGGGAGAAGACAGGTTTCAGCTTGTTATGTATGAGGCTGAGATCAGACTGGCATTGTCAAGGACCTGGAAAGAGTCTTCCGTGTGAAAGGGTAGTATTTGAATGCAATATTAAACAACTTTGGTTATCATAACTGTGATTGAGAGTTCGGAATTGAATTTCATACCATGGTGGTTTTAAATTTTTGGGAGCAATGTTTTGAAGCAAGGTACATGTTCCAAAAAAAGTTTTAACCGACTACTTACAATTAAACATTCTGTAATGAAGAACAATTTATCAAACAAAATATTTTTGGGAGGTTAAATGTATATACTGGCCTCAAGTATTTATGTACATTCCGAGAACAAAAATGAGTTCATTTGATATTCAATAAACACAAATACATGAATTTTTCTCAGAAATAAAAATCTGATTGTATCTATACTGACCCTTTCTTTGTAGAGATGATTGGCAGACTCGTCAGTTTCATGAGCATTTAGACTGTCCATCTTCTCGGCTAATTTCTTGTTTGATTCGTGGCTGTTATTGTTATGCTCAGGCTGAAAAAGTATTTTCATAAATAGCTTATAATTTAGAAGAAGATTGCATTTGGCCCTTATCATATCAAAACTATTACTAGTATTAATTGTCCATTATTTGAAAATGCATCAAAGTTGTACGTTAAAAAAAAAACAAACAAAATTCTTCAAGCACTTAGACGTTAATTCATCAAAAAATTGATTTGTATATTTACAAATACATTACAAAAGATAACATTTCTTAAATTGAGAAACAATTGACATGTTTTACTAGGAAATGGACAAAGAAAATAAATAATTGCAGAAATATGCACATGTACAATAGGACCACATCTATAAAACTGGATCATCAGTCAAAAATTACCTCACAACCTAATTACATACATGTAGCTTATGTCTAATTCAGTTAATCATAACGACGAGTATCTAATTATAAACAAAGACTTTAATTGATATTATTATGAAAAATGTATGTATAGCTAAAACAGAAATAAATTGCATGCTAGGATATATAGCACAAACACAGGAGAAAGCACCATACTGATACAAAATTAAAGAATTAAGACACATAAAGCAAAATACAATGGTTTTCTTCTTTTCATGACATTTGGATAAAAGAGGAGAGAAGAAGATAAGAGATTAAGGATTAGACTAGAAACAAGATTCAAGTATGTTGAACAATAAGTCTGCAATCAGCTTAGCTTGTTCTAGTAGGCACATTCTGTATATGGTTTGGAAGATGAGCTATAATTCTGAGCACTAAGGAAACCAATTAGATGCAAATTAAAAGAAGCTCTATGGATAAACTCAGCTGATACATATGCAAGCTAGCTGTGAATGAGCTGTATGACCAGGGACGATTCATGATTGAAGGGTACCTTGGGGTGAGCGAGTTTATCGACCTGATCATCCACCCGAGTCAGTTTGTGCTGAGCTGATGACAAAGTTTCCTCAAGAAATGTGTTCCGTTCTTGTAATTTGTCAATCACATGCTTCAGTTAAGGGAAGTTAAAGAAATGGTGACATTAGAATGGAATACTTTAACAACATGTCAGATATTTTGCCAAAGAAATGGGAAAGTTACTCTTTTCATTCTAAAAACTCAAGATTAATTTATATTAATTATTGGTGTAAACCATTTTCTTCAATTTGTTTATAACCCTTCTCCTAAACTTGTTTATTTAATGAAGTCATGCCGATACCTGTGCATGAGCTGGTATAACAGTGGTCTGGAACTGTTTCAGTTCAAACTTCAGTTTACGACTTTCTTCAAGAAGAGACATATTTTCCTCCTCTAAAGAAGTAACTTTTCCCTTGAGAGAGAAACAATGCACAGCATTAAAAGTGAGTTCACTTTTCAGATGATGTATTCTGAGATTTAATCTGAATCACTACTGTTACAAATTTTCAATGAATTGTTTGTTTTACCTGTAAATCAGATATTTGTCTTGCCTCTCTCTGCATCTCTGACATTTCCTTTTGTAATTTTTCAAGTGATTTCTCTAAAAGTTTCTTTTCTCTATTAACAGCATCTAATGTTGCCTTTGTACAACAAAAGTATTGTATTAGAATGACAATAGGGTTTCATGCTTTTCAGAATAAGTGACTGATGAGTAAAGTTATGTGCAAATAAACAACAAATTTAGGATAGCACACCAGTTTGAAAAACAGTTATCTTATCACAACAAACTTGGACACAAATTTTATAATCATAGCTAAATCATCATACATGCTTTGAGAACATTCTGCACGACTATTAGTCAAACATTTCAACTTGAGTAACATTAAGATATTCAGAAGAATAGGGTGACAACAGTTACAGTTGACACAACACACAAATATTTCACATCACATCACACTACCCATACCTTCTGTTTTCCTGCTTCCTTTGATGCCTGAACTAGTTCAACCCTTACAGCCTTCACAGCACTTGCCTTCTCTTCATCTATCTCTGATATCCGAGTTTCCATGGCAGCTTTAGTCATCTGTAGGGCCTTCTGGAGCTCAGATTGAGCTTTCTCAGCCTAGAATTTCAAAAAGATGATAATATGTTCTTAAATAAAAATAAATTCCCATATACACTATTTATTATTCTTGCTTACACTTCTTTGTTTAATGAAAGCAATCTTGACAAAGCTTTTCTGATAAGTTTGATTGCATGTCCACTTAAATAATGTTGGAGGAGATTTCATTGATTCATTCTACAGGTTTAGAGTTGTTTTATCCCAGGTTCACATATACAAACCAATTTTTTGTCCTTCTGTAGAGCTGTAATTGTCCTATTGAGTTCCTCCACTTTTTTGCTTGGTTTGGACTCCTTATTGAATTCCTTATACACTGTGTCTAGCTCCTGTTGTAACACATTTATCTGTTGCATCAGCTGTTTTCTCTCCTGGTTGTAGGTTTCTTGTAGTTTCTCCATCTGACTCACATATTCATCCTAAGCAACAAAACCATGTTCAATATTTAATTACAGGCTCTTTCTCACAGTAATATTTCTTACATAAATAGATTCCCTCTAAGTTTATGTTTTAAGAAAGACCTTCTCTCCTTATAGATAAGACAGAAACCTTGGATTTAAATACACAGGACATGTTTTGTGCATAAACTATGTCCCTGATATAAAACTGTATAATTACATATTGAATATCTTTTTACGTGGAATATCTTTTTACATGCAAAACTGCAAACTCTGGAACAGTGACTTCTGATACATAATGTATGATAAATATGAATGACAAAAATTACAAACTGATCTGAGATGAATGTTACACAGTAAATGTAAAACAATCATTTCATTCCAACCATTCTAGTCCACGACATTAGTAGTAATGTTGATTTGACAATGCATCTAAATGATTCCATGAAAATTGACTTAATGGACTGATGACTGAATTTTAAGCTGTAACTGACAGTGTCACACTGTGCACTACACACTTAGTAACATCACCTGCTTTGCCATTCTTCTCTGCCTTTCTTTGTGTCTCTAATAGTAAATGCATTCCGTGAAAAAAAACAAAGTCTGGAATTACAAGGCAGCCAACTCAAATCCAGTGTCATGACCTTTGAACTTATGACCTTACCTTTAGCTCCTCCCTGATGGCACATGCCAGCTCTTCCTCTAGTCCTTCTTTTTCCTCTTCATATTTCCTTGACATAGCCTCTCTTTCAGATTCCATCTTGTCCTCCAGATTGTGAAGCTGCTGTCTTAAAAACTGCACCTGCTCTTCATATTTCTTCACCAGCTCCTCCTTCTCCTTCTCATGTCCCTTATCTGTTAACAAATATTAAACTTTTTGTCAATTTCATAGTTTGAAGATGCATTTTAGAATTTTCTTTCATAATTCTCAGCGAAATTCCTTTGAATTAACATTGTGAACAGGTACTTGTGGACAGCCCCCCCCCCCCGGGTCAAAAAATATTTTATGTCTTTTTTTTCATAAACCATTCTTCTAGTACACATTTACAATGTACTCCATATGAAAAATCCAAAAAATAACGCAGAATTAACGTTTTACTAAAAAATCATACCAGCGGTATTATAAAATAGAGAAGGTAAGTCACTTCCATTTGTTAACACTGGACCCCTCTTGGATATCGGGCCTAAAATATCATATACCTACTACATGTCACCAAAATGTGTCATTATATCTTGTTTCGGTAGATATTTTTGTCTTTAATCGTGCTATTTAATTGTCCAGGCATTCCACAATAATCCGAGTATTCATCGTCAAACGTGAAAAACGCTACAAGATTGGGAAATGTCAGAGTAGAAATTACGGAAGTGATGCAAAAACGACACCTAGCGTGTAACTCTCGAGTTCCGAGTGTTATAGAATTGAGGGAAAAGCCAGAGGTCTACGAAAAAGTTCGGGAAAATTTTGATAAAGAAGTTGAAATTGATTCATTAGAATTTAATTCCGCTTAAGTTTTCGAGATGAGTGAGGGTAGTCCACTGTCCACAAGTACCTGTGACATTGTGTGAAACCATGATTTGAGAAGAATCCATTTTACAAAAGAGGCATAACTTGTGCTAAGTCATCTACAATTTTTACCAAGCTGATTTTTCTGGTGAGCAAAAACTTTCTCCATTGCCAGCCTCTCCTTCTGAAGATCCTTCATCATGGCCTCTTTTTCTGTCTCTGTTATATCCTTCTTGTGCTTTTCCAGAAGTTCATAAAAGTCGTCCCTCAGCTTTCCTTTCAGGGCCACTTCTCCCTGCAATTTTTTCTTAACATTAAGCTTTCATAAAAGTGTAGGCTAATTGCAAGAACATCAGACAACCAAAATTAACCTTAAGTTTCTCAAAAAACTGCTATACCCAATATCAGGGATGCTTCAATGTTTAGATTGCATTGGCTTTGCAGTTTTTGATATCTCAAACCCTTCTACCTACATGTACAAATACATGTATAAATCCATTTTGTCATTCTGCCAGAGTAAAAAATATCAAGGTTTCAGACTACACATACTTTGAAATATATGTAAATGATAATAAACTTGAATCTTTAATTCAGTGTGTTTAACTCTCTCAATTAAAAGACTATAACTCTTACCTGTGCAAAGATATTTTCAAAGTCTTGTAAATCTCTGCGGTATTCATTTTCTTGTTTTTGAAGTTCTTTTTCAAACTCCTCTTGAATTTTTAACTTTTCCCATTCAAACTGTTGAGACATGTCCTCTATTTTCATAGACAATTGCACCTTTTCTGTCTCTAATTTTTTTATTGCACTTTCAGTACCCATTAAAGTGGACTCGAGTTCATCTTTGAGTTCACTCTGTTCTTGCTCATACTGAGCTAAGAATTCCTCCTTCTGGAAGGCTAATTGTTCCTGCAAGTCATTTCTCTCTTGCACCATCTTCTGAATTTCCTCCAAAGAACATGCTAGTTTCACTTCCAAGTCTTTGTCTTTTTTACTTTCACTTTCCATTTGTGAGACCTGAGCCTGCAGTTCTCTTTTGTATTCCTCTTGTAAACTGAAAAATAATGTATCTCTAGAATATTTTTTAACCATGCCTTTCTATGTACATGTATCATTACATCCTTTTGAGAATCTCAGTGAATTACCTGTCAATGATTTTCTGCTTCTCCTTCTGGAAATCCTCTTCCATTGCTTTCTGTGCAGAGGAAAATTCTCTCTCTTTTTCCTCCATCTTGGTTTGAAAGTCATTCTGGAGATTTTTCTCATTTTCCTTCAAAAGTTTGTCCTGAAGAATAATAAGAAAACCATGCAGGTGTGAGACTTTATGAGATACCATTTTTCAACACTTTACACAAACTTCTGCACCAGACATTAAGTTTGACAAACCTGTTCCTTCTTAAATTTCTGTCCTAGTTCCTCCTTTTCAGATTGGTATTTTTCCTCCAGTCTAATGATCTCATTCCTGTGACTCTGTTGCAGTTCCTCCTTTTCCCCTTTGTATTTTTCCTCCAACTGTAACATTTCATTCCTGTGACTCTTCTGCAGTTCCTCCTTTTCTGTTTGGAATTTTTCCTCCAGTTGTAATATTTCATTCCTGTGGCTCTGTTCCAGGTCCTTCTTTTCCCTCTCATTGTGGATCTTCAGATCTGTTATTTCTTTCTTCAGGATCTCAATGTAGTCCCTGTCACTCTGTATGCTACTTACACCTACAGAAAAACCAGGAAGAATCAGGTCAATATATTATGATGGCAATTTACCTATATGTAAGACTTAAACATCATTTTACATTTTTTTGTGCAGTTTTATCAAAATATAATTTAACAATTTTCATTATCACAAATATGATTACAAACTATTTCACTTGAGCTTCAAGGTTAAGATGTGATCTTCAACTTACTACAACCAAACAAGAACATTTGATGGGCATACTTTTTACTTATCATTAGCAGTTTTAATTCATTGCTTACTACAAGTGTCGTCATCATCAGCGGGGGCCAAGGGGAGTCGCCTTCGGACCCTGCCTGGGTGGTTAGGGATGTGCAGACCCTCATCTTCTGAGTTCTCTGTTAACCAGAATAAGCAATACAGTTTCTTGACATTATTGAGTGAATAAGATATCATAAGATATTATCATTTAGCTTTCTTTTATATTTTCATGTTCTGTTGTTGTGACACTTCCTTGATCATTTCTCACAAAACAATGTCTTGTTTAAAAGTGTTGCTTGTTCAAAATATATATATATCAGTGAAAATAACTGCAGCATAAATATCAACTAATTTTGAGCAATTCACTTAGGCAAAGAATAAATCAAAAGTTTATATATATATCTTGAAGAATGAATAGAACGAAGTTTTTAGACAAAAAGCTAGACAGTGAGCCTCAAAAAATTGTAATAAATCTTTCAATATATAAGCAGAATTTCAAATCTTTGTGCTTTTGTCAGATACATGTAGTTTTAAAGGTTTTAACACTTATATATGGAAAAATACATCAGGTGATAGGAAATGTAGAGAATATATACAAATCTGTACACTCAGTGTATATACTGTATGTTGGTACAGAGGAGTAAACAGTGCTAGGTGGTTTGTATATACATACAAGAGAAAGCCACAACATCCCAGAGATCTGTTAGTCCACATCTATAGGTGGATGAGGACAGAGGAGAGCATTTTACCTGAGGACACAGAGGAGCGAACTCCTCGTTTGGTCTTAACATAGTCTGACAAGAAGGACCCCTCCCTGATAGGGATACGTGACCCGAAATTGGGGGTCTGGCTGCCCAAGTGCTCACTTTTATTTCGGGAGTAGATCTGTTGCTGAAGCTCCAATACTTGGGCTGTCAGTTCATCATTCATGTCCTTCAGCCTCTGAAAGATTGTTATAATAGGATAATGATATCATAATGGTATCAATTGCTTTAGAATATGAACATCATCAATAAAGAAATCACTCTGTTTTAAATACATGTATATGACAACCAAGATAAAATAAGCATATTTTTAATGTGATTATACTTGTAGTGTGTCCATGAAACAATATGAATGAAATAATACAGATTTACAGTTTATCAGCAAATTCCAAAGTTACAGTATTAGAGAAAAACTAAATATATGACAATCGTGTCTCTATTGATAGCCCTATCTAAGCTTTCCAGTAATTTTTCAACAGACCTGGTTTTCTGAGGTAGTTCTGGTGAGTTTTTCTTGGTGAGATCTCTGTTGTTCTGGGGTCATCAGGTCAGAGGCTTCATACTCCTCCCACTTTTACACAAAGGAAAGATGCATTAGCCAATAGAATTTTTCAGATCAGGGGAAAAAGGCATATTAAAACAAGAGAGCTATCAATCATGGTACCTTTTGTTGTAGTTCCACCACCCTCTCAAAATCTTTCTGTAACTTTGTGTTTAACTTTTCACTCTCTGCCAGCTTCTCGTTTGTCTCTACCAATTCTGCCTCCATTTTTTCCATATCCTGTAAAATACAAAACAGGTATACATGTAAAAACATATGCATCTCAATGAAGTTTTCCTTGAAATTTCAGTTTCTCATTTTCATCCAGTTTTTCAGATTTTGCAGGGAGTGCCTTAAGTAGAAAAAAACATGGTTATTTAATGTTTGATATTTTGATCCTCAAAATACTGAAGTGGTTGAAGCAACCAAATTATTATCACATCTCTATTTAATATTATAGTTTTTGCAAAAGAATAAATCAGGAAAATGAATAAAACTTTCTCCAAATAAAATTTTATTAATAGATGATACTGACTGAAAATTTGGAGAAAGTGGATCTCAGTAAGCCCATTACCTTCTGATTAGACATCAGCTTGAGTCTCAGTGACTTCTCTTCCCTTACCTTCTGAGTAGACATCAGCATGAGTCTCAATGACTTCTCTTCCCTCACCTTCCTTTCTGAGTAGACATCAGCCTGAGTCTCAGTGACTTCTCTTCCTTACCTTCTGAGTAGACATCAGCTTGAGTCTCAGTGACTTCTCTTCCTTACCTTCTGAGTAGACATCAGCCTGAGTCTCAGTGACTTCTCTTCCTTACCTTCTGAGTAGCCATCAGCCTGAGTCTCAGTGACTTCTCCTCCTTACCTTCTGAGTAGCCATCAGCCTGAGTCTCAGTGACTTCTCCTCCTTACCTTCTGAGTAGCCATCAGCCTGAGTCTCAGTGACTTCTCCTCCTTACCTTCTTAGTAGACATCAGCCTAAATCTCAGTGACTTCTCTTCCCTTACCTTCTGAGTAGCCATCAGCCTGAGTCTCAGTGACTTCTGTCCCTTACCTTCTGAGTAGACATCAGCCTGAGTCTCAGTGACTTCTCCTCCTTACATTCTGAGTATACATCAGCCTGAGTCTCAGTGACTTCTCCTCCTTACCTTCTGAGTAGCCATCAGCCTGAGTCTCAGTGACTTCTCTTCCTTACCTTCTGAGTAGCCATCAGCCTGAGTCTCAGTGACTTCTTTCCCTTACCTTCCTTTCTGAGTAGCCATCAGCATGAGTCTCAGTGACTTCTCTTCCCTTACCTTCTGAGTAGCCATCAGCCTGAGTCTCAGTGACTTCTCCTCCTTACCTTCTTAGTAGACATCAGCCTAAGTCTCAGTGACTTCTCTTCCCTTACCTTCTGAGTAGCCATCAGCCTGAGTCTCAGTGACTTCTGTCCCTTACCTTCTGAGTAGACATCAGCCTGAGACTCAGTGACTTCTCCTCCTTACATTCTGAGTATACATCAGCCTGAGTCTCAGTGACTTCTCCTCCTTACCTTCTGAGTAGCCATCAGCCTGAGTCTCAGTGACTTCTCTTCCTTACCTTCTGAGTAGCCATCAGCCTGAGTCTCAGTGACTTCTTTCCCTTACCTTCCTTTCTGAGTAGCCATCAGCATGAGTCTCAGTGACCTCTCTCCCTTACCTTCTGAGTAGCCATCAGCCTGAGTCTCAGTGACCTCTCTCCCTTACCTTCTGAGTAGACAACAGCCTGAGTCTCAGTGACTTCTCTTCCCTTACCTTCTGAGCAGCCATCAGCCTGAGTCTCAGTGACTTCTTTCCCTTACCTTCTGAGTTGACATCAGTCTGAGTCTCAGTGACTTCTCTTCCTTACCTTCTGTATAGACATCAGTCTGAGTATCAGTGACCTCTCTCCCTTACCTTCTGTATAGACATCAGTCTGAGTAGTATCAGGGACTTCTCTGCCTTAACTTCTGAGTAGACATCAGCCTGAGTCTCAGTGACTTCTCTTCCTTACCTTCTGAGTAGACATCAGCCTGAATCTCAGTGACTTCTCCTCCTCCTCAATCCTCTCCTTCTCTGAGTCCAGACCGTTCTTCAGGGAGCTCACCTGAGCCCTCTCCTGTTCTAACTCAGTCTGTAAGCCTCTTAGTTGTTCCTGATACTTCTTCTCTATAGAACTAATTCAAACAAGAAATATATGTAGATATTCAAAGTAAAAGTTATTTACTTGACATTTCTTGATATAATGTATTCTAATTATGATTCATGATGATATATTGCAGGAGTATCAATGAAACAGTCATTTCCCAATAATTTATACTAAAATGCACATTCAACCATGCATCAAAATTGAAATTTCTCTCATCTAGTCCAGTTTTCAGCTATCCAAAATCTTACCTTAACAGTTTTCATCACAGAATAAATGTACTGCTGTCAGACAACACGACAAACTCATAGCATCAACACAGACAATTTACAGTATTTAATCCAGAACTACCCTATAACTTTCCTGAATACTGAGAGACAGGGAATGAACTTATCCATTTTGTGATAAATGCAAATATTGACAGTACAATTACATGCACTGTCTAAAAGTAGATTTATCTATACACAGTCACAAACATAAGACACAGGGGCACACTTAAGATTGTTTACTTTTGGCACCAGCTTTGTCAAGTCTCTTAATAACTGTAACAAACTCCCATCATAAAAGCATGGATGTGAAGAAGTTGGTTATTATTGCAGATAATGTCAGATTTAAATTCCACTTTGAGGTAAATCTGAGATCGACAAAACAAATCTGAATAGTATCACAAGCCTTAAATGGAGAATTAAATGGTCAATAGAACAGGTAATAGAATTACAGTAAATTCTGAAAAATAACAAAGTAAATGCCTTCTTTATACTGGTGAAGTTATTTTGTCATGTACAGTTTGAAAAGATGTTCATATAGATTGTTATAATTTTGATTAACTGTTAATTGTTAAAATTCAATTTTGATAAGATCTATATAAAAGATTGACCTTCAAATTGAATGCATGAACTTAAGTCATATATGAGGTCATAAAATTCTGACACAGCTTATATGCATGCTCCCAACAAGAAGTCAGTGTGTGAAATGTAGGAAGAAATCCATGATATTCCAGATATTCCTCAAGTTTAATTCAAAATCAGGAAATGTGAAGCCCATGTCCTTAAGGTAACAAAAGTCTAGGAAGGTTTACTTAGGTAACAAAAGTCTAGGAAGGTTTACTTAAGGTAACAAAAGTCTACAAAGGAAGCTCAAGGTCACTAAACTTTGAATTAGCTAAAATGGTCTTATAAAGGTGAATCTGTTTATAAATTCTAAAGAAAAAAAGATGACCTGTTTGTGAAACACTGATGCCACCATATGGCAGCTTCTGGTCAACCTTAAAGTTTTTCAAAAGTAGGTCGAAATCCAGGGTCATGAGATCCAAAATGTTGGTACCAAAGAAAGGTCTTGTCAAAAGGAATACACATGTGAAATATGAAAGCCTAACACCAACTGTTCAGAAGTTATGGCCAAGGTTATCGCAAATCTTGCTTGAAAGTATACGCTACGACTGAAATAGTGTTGCGTTGAGTGACGACACTGTTGAATCTGACTGAAATACAATTGAATCTGACTGATATACAATTGCAAAATCCAACAAAGAATCTGATTGGTGCAATTTTTATAGGTCCGCCCACATTCTCAAATGTGGAATGTTTCCAAGAAAGGTAGAAAAAGGTCAAAAAAGTTGTGCTTACTGAGCTAAGTGTTTTCTTTTGGTGAAAGTGGGACGACGCATTACCTGATTAAATGATTGTGAGTGTTGGTAAACTGTAAAATGGTCTTGCAAATAAAATTTGTGCAAGGATTGACAGGAAGTGACTTGATACATGTACCACGGGGCATATTTCTGCGATTGAAAAATACGTCTGATTTTCCCCCAGCCCATTACATCGATAAAATTAAACATACAATTCTGTGAAAATTGTTTCTTTTTTTTTAACATGCAAGTATATAGGCCTATGTATATATGATCTTTATTATTTTATAATGAATATATAAATAATATTCGCCGTTACAGTAAAAATTCAAATGAAAAAACACAAGAATGTCGATTTTACATGTTGCATGTTTATTGCCATGATGGCCGTTAAAATGGGTACGCAATAGCACACACACATTTGAAATTGGTATTTTTGACAGCTGTGGAAATAAAACAGTAAACTTTTAAATAATTCCGACGTTTCACATTGTGTTTTACCAGCTATGAATACATAAATCATATATATATTTCAATAACACATTTGGTAACAAGTGCTCCAGTATCAGCTGGGTATGCTTTACAATAATACCTGAGTTTTCAATTTCCTTGGGTTTGCCTACCCAATGTAATAGTTCACTTGTTTACAATCACTAGAGTCTAAAACAGAGAGAAAAAGATTTTTAGTGCGCACAGACTATTCAATTTAACGAACACCAAAAATGGAAAATGTCAATTTATTGCAGAGAAATTGGCAGAAATGCATGTAGGATAAAATAGTGTGCTGTTGAACAATATACATGTACCGTCTGTGAAACGAATATCACATGCTGAAATATGATTTTATGATTTGTCTCTTGTTTTTTGTTCAAAAAGTCAGCATCAGTTTTCGACCATCAAACATGGCTATATGGCTGTTGGACACTATATAAAGACAAAGGATATCACACGAGAGATGGTGGCACTTAATCAACAAATTAAAACGCATGTTTTACAGAATGTAACCTTTGATTCAAATTGTTCAATTGTCAAATCAAATAGTGTCAACACTCAACGCAACGCTATTTTGGTCGTAGAGTATACTTTCAAGCGAGATTTGCGATCAAGTTTTTCAAAAGGAGGTAAAACTCCAAGATCAATGTTATAAGGTTTAAATTGTTAGTACCTAACGAAAGGTCTGGTCACATGGAATACACATGAAATATAAAGGCCTTACCACCAAAGCTTCAAAAGTTATGGCTACCGTTAAAGTTTATGCGGACAGACAGACCAAAAATTATGTGCCCCTGAATCTTCAATTACCTGGGTATGAAAATTATTTTCAAAAGTGCTTCAAAATGCAGATGGACAAATAAAGGACCTGAAGATGAACAGGACAAATACAAGAAGCCTCATTCATACACAATTGTTATTTTAAATGGCAAAATGGACACCTAACATTTTTTCATACCATTTTGTCTTACCAATATCCCACAAACTAAATATTTGTATAAATCTATATACTACAGTGCAACTGAATGTACATGAAAACCAAAAAAAATTCTTTCAATGAAAATTAGATGTAATGGTCTCTACTCCATTTACATATTGAACAAATTAAAGGAAACTAAAAAAAATTAACATAGCTAACAGAAACACATAATACATAAAACTCAGCAAACTGAATTCTATTAAATCCAATATTAAACAGTTTCTAAACCTTTGCATGTCTATGAGGATTTGATGTTACATATAATTTTTGAGCTGGGGAGGGGGGATGGACATAAATAGTACCATGAACAAGCTTCAGTTTTGGGCATCTACAATGCAGACTCTCTACCCTTAAGCCTAAATCCCTCTGTACTTACTAATAAGTATCTTTGATTTGAATCAAAATTCTCCTACATGTTTCAAGTAATATAAAACACTTAATCTTAAATTACATTGTATTGTTTAAATATTACGTAAATTGATATTGGACATAATTTCTGAGCGTTCCTTACCTGAGTTTTTTCTCGGTGGACTGCTCTATTTGGAGATGTCTCTCGTCCACTTCCTTGGCCAGCAGTGCATTACGAGAGTTGGCCTCTGTGAGGTCTTGCTTTAGTTTGTCAGTAGCCCACATCTGCTGCTCTAATGAGGATCTGAAACAAGAGTTATCTCTCTTTGTCCAAAATTGATATCAATGAATTATATGCTTTAGTTCCATCCAATTTTAATGAGACTATGATTACAGATAACTATCACAAGGACCAGTAAACATTTAATTATGATACTTTAATTGAATCATTAATACTAATTAATATTCCTACTTGATGTGTATAATCTCCTGCTGATAAGAAGCAAAGGCTGCCTGATAAATGGCATTCTCTTCATCAGCTGCCATCATTTCCTGTTCTAGAAGATAGGAGAGATCCAGGAGGCTGATTCTTGTCACTAAATCAAAGCCCAGGGCCTGTTAAAAAACAAGATATCACTAAATCAAAGCCCAGGGCCTGTTAAAAAAAGACATTACCAAGTATTTACATCAACATTAATTCTCAGCTAAAGATTTTCACACAGCTATTGTATATACACAGTAAATTGATTGGGTGGAGTAGCTTTTGAATTGCCATTCAAACTATTCTACTCACTTTTCTGTTATGACAATTAACAGAAAAAATCAAAAGCTGATCACATTAGACTCAACATAACATTTGATGCAAAAGAAAAAAAATTTACTCATGCTACTTAAATCTCCTAAATTTTAAAATCATAACATTTAAATCAAAAGTCCACCTGGCTATACTCAGGTCATCATGTGCTGACAATAGACAACAACTAGAAGTCATTAATGAAACTGTAGCTCTACTGGTTTGTACAGTGTATGTATATAGATAAAAGTTCCACCTTGACTCCAAAACTTAGTTACATTCATAGAATTGTGTGTTTTGATGTTTTCCAAACTTGTACAGTTTTACTGAATGTAGAAGTCAAGTATTATTTTAAAAGATTTTCATCGAGCTTATTCTTTGTTTTAGTAGCAACACCATTCATCAAAATCTTACATAGAGAATTATGAGCTTTCCTATAGTCTACATTGTACTAGTCATGTGTACCAACTTGTATTGAAATCATACTAAAACTGTTGGAGTATAGCATTTAGAAAAGAATTCCAGTTACTGTAATGATACTATTTTTAGTAACCACAGCAACACTGGAAATCAAAAGCGATAAAATATATTGTGTATCTCTGTGTAGTTTACCCATTCACCACATTTTATTGAAAATGGACCAAAACTACTGGAGTTTCACAGACATTTCCATTTTTAATATACATGGCAACACCATTCATCGTAATAAAAAAATAATATAGAGAATCGTGCAGATGCAGACCCTGATACATGCTATTATCCCTTGGTCAAGCAGCATGAACGGCACACACTCAATATATGGTTAGCACGAACGCTGAAACCAAGATCTGAGTGTACTAGTGTACAAAGATTTACTCATATTTAACCAAAGCTGAAGGAAGAGTGACATTTTGACAGAAGTTCAGAGAATTTTTTATTTTTTTGTAACCATTGGAATACATAAAGGGAATTATGTATGTTCATGTCTGGCCGGGTCATATGTCCTTCAAACCTTGTCAGATGATGGACCAGGGATACATCTTGGGGGTGAAGATAAATATATACAAAGCTAACAGATGGACAGACAGAGGAATGGATGGATGAGACACACCATTCCATAAAAGGGCCTGTCAAAAGAGGGTTATAAAATATTTACCACCAAACAGCTAAATGGACAGTCAACAGACACCTTACCAATGTATAAACTCTTCTAGTCTTTGACCAGTAGAGCTAAATAAAAGCATACGTTCATACAGACAGCTTAAATGTTTACTAAGAATGACCTGAAGCAAGTCATTGTGGGAGAAGTGACCCTCAGTTTATTTATACATTTTACTTACAAGAAGGATATCTGCACCATCGGTGATACTGTATTTTTCCCATAAATCAATTATGCTGTCTGGCATTGCAAACCTACATAAATAACAGGACAGAACTTCAAAAGAAATAAATATTTTAGCATTATAATAAAGTGCCATTAGTCCAATTCTATACATGTAATACCGGTACATGTATAATGTAACTTTTTAGCTTATATAAATTTAAGGAATTAAATCAAGACAAGCAATTTCAGCTTGACTGGAAAGACATACATTATGGGACTGTACTAAGAAAGGTCTGAAATTTGAATTAGGCGCATAAGATCTTTATGCAAAGTATTCCATAAGCAATAATACCATTTATGTCAACTGTTTGATTGAATATATAAATATCATTAAAATTTAAATTTTATTAGATCAGTTTTCACAAAAACAACATGTACCCTGTATGTTCTGTGTCAAGCACAGTAAAGAGCCCAGATGACCCACTACCACTTATCAATGATGGAGTTGTCCTTTCTTCTGCACCAGATGCTGTGGGTCGGAATTTTTTCTGGGCTGAGTGAGTTCTGGGTGTTAGTGAGCGTGGTGTGCCAACACGACTCCGAGATTGACTTGTGGCGCCCCCATTATTATGCTGAAAGACACCCCCAACAAAGTCCTCAAAACTGATGCGTCCATCACTGTCTTGGTCCAGACGGTCAAATAACTGCTGCAGCTCCTGCATACAGACAAAAAAATAATGCATAAATATTTAATAGTTACAGCTTCAAAGATATACATTTTATCAAATTTAAAAGAAATAACACTTATTTAGTAAAAAACTGAAACAAGTTTTCCAAAAATTTTCAATTTCTACAAAAGAAAGTTTGAACAATATCAAGAGGGGCTAAAAATTTCATTTAAAAAAAATGCTAACATTTTTATTCATTTCCATGCCAATATGGTCGCAGACTTGGCCCAGCTCCTGAGCGGTGATGTATCCACCGCGCCCAACATTTAACGTCTTCCAGATATTGCGTAGGTACTCCTCATGTCCACTTATCTCCTGTGCCTGTTCCAACTCGGACATGTTTAAATTCATTTGTCCTAAAAATAAAATAGGAACATATATAAAATACCATAGCTCTAATATTTAAGTTGGGGTATCTACCACTTTAATCACCATTACTGGTACATGTACCAAGATTTACTGTAAAACCACTTATTTTCAAGGCCAAAGGGGCCAAATTCTTGTGGATTGAGGAAAAAAGAATCATTCAAAGGGATCTGATTTACATGTAATTAGTGGTTGAAGAAGAAAATGATACCATTATGAAATTTTATCATTTCATACGGGACATAAATGTGCAGGTCCTGTCATATCAAGAAAACAATGAAATTAACACACACACATCCCCAAATATTAGTGATTTCACAGCAAAAAACAACATCCAAAATTTACAATTCAATGCTTATATTTACACTTATTGATTTCATGGTATATTGATAAAATATCGCTTCTTTATATGTATATTCTTTAGATATATTATGCTTATATTTAAATAATGTACACTGTAATTGTCGAGGTAAATGAAGGAACAGCCACTATTCTTCAATGTGAATTTTTAAATTTTGATTTTTGCTTAAGACTTTTTTGACATCAAAATAAAAATCATTACTTCAACCTTCTGACTGCAGTATATAACATCATCCACAAAAAAAAAATTAAATGATTGAAAATGAACTTATTGACAAGTAAAGAAGTGATATAAATATGAATATCTTTGTATATTTGTTATTTTTAAAACTACTCATAATATGGAACTTTCCAGCTACAATGTAGTCTCATTATTTGTTCAAGTTTTTTTTTAGCCATATATCAAGTCAAGTTTGTAGCATCAACACATTAAACAATTCCTATACCTTAATTACTTTAGCATGTTTTGTATAAAGATAAACAGACATTTGATATACATTATTCATAAATCAGGGTTTGTTTCTTGGTAGTGAACAACATATTCATATATAGACCTAAACGACTTCCTATCTCAAAATAAATGTAAAATTTATTCATACTTTTCATTTTCTTTAAATGAATTTCAAAATAGGAATGCTTTGTAAGCAAACCGAAGCTTTTCAAAGTGTTTATTCTTGATTTAATATCTGTTATGTCAATTCTTCAGAGAAGTCAGTACAATTTTTTTTTACGATATTCTTTAAAGTTCGATTTCATTCAGTCAACACTGTCTAATTTTCTATCAGAAATTGTTTTTTCCCCAAGTATTATCACGAGGAATGAAGCCTCTGTGTTTCAGAGTAAACCTAATCAACAATTTTTTTTGTATAATACAGAGACAGAGATAGGAATAGCTTATAAGACTTCTGTCTTATTTCAAAGAGATTTGTACACCCAAAATACATTTCCTAAAATAAATTATTAATGTGCAAGAGTTCTTATAAAAATAAGAATTTGATTGAAATTGGAATCAGTAAATATAGTCAAATTAATCAAACCTTATGTGAAAACTATGCCATTATACAACTTTCTTTTCTTTTCTTTTTTTTTTTTTTGTTTTTGTTTTTTTTTTTTTTGGGGGGGGGGGGGGGGGTCTACCAGTTCTTTCAGATCATTTTAACCAAGTTTTTAATTCAGGAGAGACATTTCAAGACTTGTCTACATGCATATTTGTTGATTTAATGCTGTTAATTAGACAGCTGGTATTAAATTTCCGGTTGCTCCCAGGTTACATGTTCCTTAATTTAATGTTTTTAATTAGCTGGTATTAAATTTAATAGTTCTTCCAGGCTACATGTTTCTTGATTTAATAATGCTGTTAATTAGTCAACTGGTATTATTTTTTTTTTGTGCTTCCAGGAACATGCTAATTAGTAAGTTAACGACCAATGAACTAAATACCACTAGAAGATTTATGTATGTTTATAATTAATTCTGGTTTCAAAGTGTTCCAAATTTCAACAATTACATGTACGACTTTCCCCTATTCTCTTATCTTTTAGCTCAACTGCAGTATCTTCTTATAAACTTAAAAATATAAATGTTGAAGTAATTCAGACCTTTTTTCTGCATTTCCAATTTCTCTTTCATGTTTTCCTTCATGTGATTCATTTTTTACATTTTAGCTTGAACTTATTAAGCCTGCATTCCTTTCTTATTATCTTCTAACTCCACAATAATATACAAAATTTTTAGTTAAATAAGTGGGCTTCATATTTTAGCACCTTTGGTGCAGACAACAATGCGCTAATTCATGAATACCATTAATAAATCATAAATATATACACTGTACGGTGCCGACATCTGTAACACTAATTCATGGTTACACTAATCACCGCATTCCAAGTCATTGTTAATTTGTTAATATGTTAATTTATGCACACGTACAGTCGAATCTACGTATTACCCTTGCTTCAATGTTCCATTAGGGGTGCAGAGATAAAAAATTCAATGTCTGACAACATTAGCTAAATTCACATAGTTTTCATCAAGATCCCTCTTTTCCATCCCCCTCAAAAATAAAGGTGATGTCAATGGTTGATTCAAAATTGATTATCAAGAAATTAGTACGAGGGGCATTTCAAAAGTTCTGGCAACTGGTATATAAAATTTTAACTAGGTTACGGATTAAAATGACTCTGATACCACTGTAAAGCTTAGGCAAATATGCATTAGTAGTGACGTCATTTTACATTCAAAATGATGTATAGGTCTGCTAAAATGACGTCATAATTAGGTATACTCTGTATACTGGGTGTAAAAATAACTGATAAGGAGAACAATTTTTTTGTTGAGCAAAGAGCGTATTGCAAAATTCGCTCATTGCTTGGCTTTACGGCAACAGAAATAAAAGCCGATTTAGATGTAGTATATAGAGAGCATGCTCTTTCATATTGAGCAATAGCAATATGATAGTTCAATTTAAAGAGGGTAGAAAATCAATTGAAGATGACCCCTGTTCGGGGCGTCCAGTTTGTGCATACGGCGAAAAAGAAATCGTCGCTGTTCAAAATACGATAGCTGATGATGCTAGATATACAGCTGAGGAAATAGCAGACTTAACTAAAATTAATTCGTCAGCAGTTTTTTGTATTTTAAAGGAAAACTTAAAGCTTAGGAAAGTCTGTGCTAGATGGGTGTCGCATCTTCTCTCGGAAGAGCAAAAGCGCATCCGGGTAGAAATGGCTTCACAGTTACTAACAATTTATGAAGATTATGACCAAGGGCGAATAAATGAGATTGTAACTGGTGATGAAACATGGATATATTTTTTGAACCGGAAACTAAGCTCAATAATAAAGTTTGGATCGGTCAAAATGATACAAGGCCTCAAATTGCACACAGAAACCGGTCTGTCCGGAGAGTAATGTACGCCTTATTTTTTGATTCTAAAGGCCCTGTTGCTCAAGTTCCTGTTCCAGAACACAGCAGTGTTACTAGTCAATTTTATGCAGAGAATGTCTTGTCTCAGGTTGTAGAGCACTATAAAACGACCCGACCAACAACCAGTACTAGAGGAATAAAGCTCCTCCATGACAATGCACCTGCCCATAGATCAGAGGTAATAACCAAATATTTAAAGGAAAATGGTATTGCCGTTTAACCACATCCACCCTACAGTCCTGACCTAGCTCCATGCGATTTTTGGTTGAATGCCATTATCAAAGAAGCCCTCCGAGGACGGCGATTTGAAAGTCGTCATGCAGTCGGAAGTGCCGTATTCCAGTGTCTGAAGCGTATACCGAAAGAGGACTATAGGGCAGCATTTTCCACGTGGATTTCAAGACTGAATATAATTTAATTTATGATAATGACGCTCATTAATTTACCGCACACCAGTTGCCAGAACTTTTGAAATGCCCTTGTATAGTTGAACTTTTAAAGTACCGTGAACAATGACATCTTGAATACCATGGATATGTCGAAGTGATTTGGAAGTCCCAGCCAATTGTTGTTCAATAAGTAATTTACTCTTGATATCCCAAATACTTGGATATCTCTCTGTTTTTCATAGGTCCCACTGAGTTTGACAGTACTAATCATACACAGCAAATATCTTATATTTCTTTTGTTTATTTGTAAAAAGAAACACTTCAAATAATAACATAATCATGTCTAATATGCACTTTTTTGTGTAATTATCAATGTCAGACAGCATAAACCTTTTGGGCTCTTTACAACAACAACCCCCCCCCCGTAATTTTTGACTCTTTAAATTTAGTTTTTCATCCAGCACCACTGTTTTGATCATAGCCCTTAACAAACATGACTGTATTAGATCCCGCTTCCTTTAACAAACATTACCTCTGTACATCTTCCCTTTTATAGATAATCATTTTACAAAATACTATATCCCTACATCTCACCTTCAGCTTCAAACATCTCTTTTTCCACTTCTCCATCGGATTCTTCTTCCCCTCCCTCCTCTTCCTGTCTCCGGGGTGAACCTGGGTCCCCGGTTTCCTCGTCATCCTAAAACAGAATAGATTGAATCTCCATTAATCATTAGGTAACACTTGGCATTTCACAATGTTGACTTGTGTCCTTCTGTCTCACAGTGTTTCATATATTGATTTGAATATGCATTCTACTAAAGATTTTGCCATGTGACACCACTGTATATTTGATCAGCATACTGCCATTGAACAAACGATCAATTCTAAAGTGTGCTTAATGTTTAATTCAACCCACTTTAGAAGCGAAAATATTTTTTATGTCAATTGAAAAAAAAGAAGACATGTAAGAAAATTTCTTCAGCGTATACTTACATCTGACAATTGCGCCAGATTTAACTGAGCAATGTGAAACTTCTGCTTAATCATGATCCTTAATATCACAAACTAAACATGAACTAGCATCTTTTTGTCTCCTAACCATGGAATAAAAGTCCACACGGAATTCTTAAATATTTTAATCTGAATAGAGCACAATTACAGACAATTGGTCCTGGGCAGTTAACGGTATAATGACTTTTGAAGAGTTTCACAAGTATAGTAATCAAAAATGTTTATCAACTGAAAACGGGGCCTTTCTTCGTGTCACTTTAATATCTTTAAAACCCCTCAACAGTATATTCTCAGCTGAAGATATGAATTTTAAACACTTGCAAGGCATTCATGGTATCAATATATACTGCAGATAGGGCAATACTTTACATATCACTCCCATCAACCCCAGCTTTGAACTTTAAACACAAACACCGATGTATAAGAGTTGAGTTTCTTACGTTCTGGCATCCAGTGGCATTCAGTATATATTACCGAAATTGTTTGTCATCTCATAAAAGAATCCAGATTTTAAGTACACAACTACTGTATAATCAACACAACCCAGGTTTGGAAAAATACTTCCATCCCTCCTACGAAAGAATTTCTTCGACACTGTCTATAAAAGACTCCCAGTGTAAGAATTAAACTGAACAAGGACCACAGAACTAAATCCTAGGAAAATATATCTTCGAGTACATTTGCTTATCTATTGTTAGTTCCTATCAGGAAAAACTGAAAACATTTAAATCTATCTGGCTGATGATTTTGGGGGCCCCATGAACACATACCCCGGTAGTCAATGTTATTTTTTCCCTGACATAACCCACTCAATGTCATATAACAGTCGTTCTGAAAGTGGAAAACTTTAATGGGCAAGGGATTATTAAATTCCCCAGCTTTATAATGAGCAGTGAACCTTTAAAATTACAGATCTGAGACAGTAAGAGTGCCAATTTCATGTCTAAGAGTGGGTTAAAACAGCTGCATTAACGCGCAAATTTAGCATGTGACATTATACAGCATTCAAGGTGTATTGATTTGACATATCTTTAAATGATTTTCTTTTTATTACAAATCAATATTTCTCCTTTTGATTCCTTAATAAAAGATATTCATGAGAATCCAAAATACGCACAACCCCGGCAGCCAGAGGTATGCATGTGTCAGTACCTCAAAAAACAAAGATCTCCTATTACAGATAATTATACATATTAGAATTTTACAGCTTATGTTAAACAATTGTGAAATTAGTGCAATTTTCCCTTCAGAGCACTGCAACTAACTATCAGCCAACAATATCAAACAATTAAATAAAGGAATAAGCAGCATTACTCTTTACCAGACCAGAATTCGAACCTGGGCTCCCTGAATCGTTTGTTGCCCTACCAACTGAGCTTTCTTGCCACTGGCGACTGAATCTGTCCGACTGCCACACTTGTTTTATTCTGAGTTTTTGACAAAGGACTGCATTTATAGTTGTACATATATCAGATTGCTTGGCTGAGAACTTTCTATTAGGAACTGTATTCTCATAAACTCTCAAGAGAATCAATTGTAATTTGCTATGAGATCATGCAGTTGATCTATTTTAACACCAATAGAAAATCACAGACTTAAAATTTCCCACATTTATTCTCCAAATCATTCAACATGATAATAACATTCAACATGATAATCATAAATAATTAACATTCTGTATTACATGTATACCCGATATACAGGGTTATTTTCATCCTTTGTTATATGCACCCTATCAAAACTCTCAACTATTTTGCCCCTTTTTAAATTTACCCCTGCATAGTCAAGTTAACAGATAACTTGTGTCTTCATTGAATTTGCCCCTTTTTAAAGTTTTCCACATGAGATGAAAGCAAAAGAGGCTAAAATAAAGCAGTGATGAAATTTTCCATGTATACTGTAAGTACAGTCAAACTTGTCATAGCGGTCACCTTTATCCAGCGGTCACCTGTCTTATGCAGTCTTTTCGTTTCCTACAAAATGTAACTCTATTAAGCAGTCACCTGGGTAACACAGTCAGCGGTCATCAAATTTCAAGTGAAATCGCCATTTTTCCTCATCTATAGCGACTATTTTGCTCAATCACATGGGCTCAGATGAAAACGTGACACCTGGAAGTCCAACAGAGGATAAGCAAGAGGACTCGAAGCAGGAGGACATTCCAACAGAGGAAACCACACCTAAGAGTCTGGTGATTCCCTATGTAAAGAATTGGTCTAGCGTGGCGAGATAAAGGAAAAAATAATCGACCTGAACAATAAAACCATTTAAGGTGTATAATCACTCTGTTCACTCAAATGAAATGTTTCTCTAATGCTCATTATTTCCCAAAAGAAAAAATATTTTGTAAGTAATATGCAACCCAATTTGGCATAGTCTGCAGGGCAAAATTAGACAAAAAGGTATTTAAACTTAATTGACAAATCTATAAAGGAATAATAGACATTTATCCGAGTTATCTCTCTTACCAGAGTATCAATGAACCTTAAATGATTGGAAAAGCATATAAATTATTGAACAAACTAACTTAAGTTTTTACAAAACTCAAATAAGGGTGCTCATAACCAATAAAGTTAGCAGTAAAACAAATATCAACAAAACAAATAAAACAAAGGAAATGGAAAACAAACATGATTATAATAATTATTTAGTGATTTCTGCATTTAAAGAATTAAGACAAAAAACTTGTATCTAGAATATCTTGGCAAAGAAAACTGTCTTCATTACTACAAAAATTAAATATCACTTCTTTGGACATTTCTCACACAACCTTGAAAAACAAATTACAAGAGCATTTCCAAAACAAGATACATGAACAACTGAAAAATATAAGCAAATCAAACTCTGGAAAGTTAGCTTTTTATAGTAAAATTGTAATTCAAAATAAATACAAATTGCAAAGTTATTTAAAGCTGCCTTTAAAGAAAAGTTTTAGATCTGTATTAACAAAATTAAGGATCAGTGCCCATCCATTGTATATTGAAACGGGCAGATACTGTAAACCCCCTATTCCTAGAGAAAAACGTTTATGCTATTCATGTAAATTATTTATTGAAGATGAAAAACATTTTGTTCTATACTGTTCAAAGTATGACCAATTTAGATGCAATTATACTGATATATTTAATGTAAACACATATACTAGTGATAATCCCATTAGAAAAATTGTCAATCCTACAAATATTACAACTGCTAGAAGGATATGTTGTTTTTTGAAAAAGTGCTTTGACAACAGAAAAGAAAGTCAGCAATGAATACTTAGAAATATATGAATATTCTCTACATTATTTTGTTCAACTCACATTTGTCACTTTGTATATGTATGTATTATTCTTGTTAATTTTTTTATGTCATGACTGTATGCCGACATGGTAATTGTCAATTAAGTGAATTGAATTGAATTGAATATCATAGGGCTCTTAAACTTAACCAGTCTAATTAAAATTAGCCCCTACGTTTTATTATTTGTTATGCTGTATGGCATAACAAATAATAAAAAGTAGGGGCTAATTTTAATTAGACTGCTTACAGAATTCAAATCTGATCTAAAAAATTTTAATGATGTCTTTTAATAAATATGATAATTAGATAATTCCCAGTTATTACTTCACGTTTTTGCATGCCCAATTCCAATTGCCATATCTGTGTAAATGCTTGACAAGCCTATTTTCACACCTAGGAAACTTGAATTCTGGGTAGAGACCCTAACTGGTATAATATAGACAATGTGGCTTGATCATCTCATGATTACCACCAAGGGAAGGCGACTGTTAGGGTTTAGTTACGCTCCATTGTTTTGGACACCTGTGAATATGATATGCACTTTGATCAACTGAGAGTACATATTACATAACTTTTAAACACTTAGTAGTTAGTTTTAGATATTATGTGTGTTTTTTTTTAGATGCTCTTCAGATAAAAATAACATTACTTTTATTCATTGTATAAAGTAATCATTTCTGATAAAATAAAGGTTTTGTTATTTGGACAGAAGGATAATGCAATAGTCTATTAGATTCAACATTTTTTTCCCCTTGAATTCATCGAATTTTGCTTGAACTCAATTAATTACTTTTCAAAAACCATGCATCTTAATTGGGACCAAAGTTTAAAAAAGCTTACTGAAAACACTTTGATATTTGTTTAATATACTATGATGTAGTAAAACACAGAACTGACAAAAATTGGAAGCAAATTTTCTTAGAAAAGACAAACCTCTACTCAAAGGTCACCTCTGTATAAAAGTCACTTTTAATGGTTTCTGCAGGTGACTGCTTAGTTCAGGTTTGACTGTATTTTGAAAATACTGAAAGAATCTGCATGTGCAGTACTCTAATGATATGTTACATCCTGGGATACACTATTATATTTAGGATGATACCCCCTACCAGTTCTAGGGTAGAGGAAATGAACACCCCCTCTTTGGTAACTCCCCCTTTTCTGGCTCTTTGGCGTACCAGAACATTGTTTTATCTCCCCCCAGCTCCACTTGGTTGTACTGGTCTCTGATGTCCTGTAACAGGTATCTCGTCATATAAGCACAGTACTCACTAGAAATAGTTAATTCCTCATTAAACTTGGATTCTGGAATAATTAAAAATTGTCCCTTGGAACTAGCATTGTTTTCAATAAAACAAAACCTTTCCATTAATAGCTGAACCACTTTAAAATGATTGACTTCATCAAAGAAATCTGGGCCCTGTTTCTGAACTTTCAACCAAAAAGATTTGTTAAAATGTTCATAAATAATAAAATCTATTCTACTGAAATTATAATAGATTTGGAATTCCTCATCTGTTGGCAGTATGTCATGTAGTTTATGCTTTCCAATGTTGCTACTATGATGCAAAATATCCTTTAATGTCCAACACATCAGACGTTTGAGTAAAATTAATGATTCAGTGAAATAGTCTGCAATCATGACAAGAGAAAACTGGGTGTCTAGTTCCCGGATATATTGTGTAATTGCAGTGTCATTCATAGATATATCCCTCCGGCCAGCAGGAAATCCCAATGGCATACCTAAACAATGTGCCATTAAATTCCTGACTAGAGAGAATCCATTAGGAAAGCAGAATCTCCATGCTTTCTTGTCTGGATGTTTATAAATTTCGTCGTATTTCTGGATATTCCGAACATACACACTGAGATTGACTGGGGGCTCCACAATGTAACCCAAACTAAAGTACGAAAAAGAGGAAGTTAGTCTGCGCCAGGGTTCTCTGATAATGGTTATATATAGGGTGTTATTTGGCATCATTTTAGCCATTCTAGTGCGATTATAAATTGCATGCTCCATTAAAATGTTAAAAGGCCTTTTAGATGGTCTATAATCAAGATCCTCAATTAGAAAAGGCCATCCCAAGTAAATGTTGTTCTTTACTGGAACGACAAAATTTAAGTTTCGCACAAGACCAAATCTCCTGACAATAGTTCCCATGGTTTCCGTTGCACATTTCATGCACTTGATGAACACAAAATTAGTTTTCTCTGTACAAGTCTGCTCACCATTCCTGTTCACACGAATGTCAACCCATTTCTTATTAGCATCTGCACTTGAACATTCCAGGATCAAATAGGAAACATTTAAAATGTATACTGATGCCACAAAGAACAGCATGAAAAACACAATGAATTTCAGTCTTTTCTTCCAAAGGAGCATTATGATCCTTCCCATCATGCCGTTCTCAAATTCAAAATCTAATCTTCATTAAATTTGCTAATTATATAGACTTTGTCACTATTAAGAAAAATATTAGACAGAGAAAATATTAGATTTCCTAATAATAACTGAACCACATAATATAATCATCTGATTATACAGAGCAATAATACTTCACTTTTTTCCTTTGGTATACAGAGCATTATCTTTAGTGAATTCCTTTGACAGATATCAACAGATAGCTCCTCCCATTATCAATTGATTTTGTGGTTCATTTTATTCACAAAATAAATTTTCTGGTGACAATATTATTCCATGTGTCAACTGAATATATAAGAACACCAGCCGGTCCATACACGATCATTATCATTTTGCTGTAAATCAAGACAAGCATGTATTCTTTGGAGCGCAACTATACTGTCACAAAAAAATCCATTAGGAGGTCTTAAAAAAAGTTTCGTCATCTCTATATCTCCAAGGTGTCACTGAAGTTTTTTTTCCCCCATTTTCCTATATACCCTTTCATAGTCCTCAGCTGAGACTGCATTGATCCAATTATTCTACTGCTCACTATCTAACTGTCGATATAAGCTTGACAATAAATGTTACATCAAAATCTGCGTAAAATCTAGGAATAACGCCACTAAATATCAGTACACCTTCATCTAAAGAGTAAGAGATGAATAACTTTGAGCAGTCTGAACTTTATTCAGATTTTATAACATCAGTAGATTTATCCAAATTTTCAGTGTAATTGGTCAATTTGTGCTAAGCACTTCCATCTCTGAATATGTCAGGCTTTATAACTTTAAAGGAGCATAGAATAACAAAAAATACTATCCCTGTATGGGTTAATTGGTATAATTAATGTGCTTTGAAACAGAAAAATCATTATAGATCTTGAAATTGTGAAAACATTTTGCTTTGTTTTCTGCATACATTTCAAATCAATCAATTTTTGAAAGCTTTTGAACTATAATAATGCAAAAGATAAATGAAAATTCTAAATGTAAAATGTGTTGTTCATCAACTAAATGTATGCGAAATTTCATGAAATTTACTGAGCACCAATTAATTGATGTATTATGTGACAGCTGGTTAAAACAAGATCCAGCACTTTCATTATTAACATTGATTAAAAAAAATTATGGAGGTGTGAGGACTATAATAACCTTGTGGATTTTTTGGGAAGGGGGAGGGTTTTTTTTTTATAGGTATTGGTTTTTGGGTTGTGTTTTTGTGTGTGTATTCATTTATAAAACTGCCAAATTAAAATGTCTTTCTTGTCCAATTTTGCCCACAAGCTATGTTAAAATTATTTGCATTTTACTTATAAAATACATTCTTCTGGAAAATCATAAACGTTAAAGCAATGGATGGTTTCACTTAATTTTCAGCTTTTCTGGCCCAGTGGTTCTTGAGAAGAAGATTTTTAATGATTTTTCCATTATATTTCAATGCAAAATTTTTATTCCCTATTGTGGCCCCACCCTACCCCGAGGGGTCATGATTTGAACAATTTAGAATCTACACTACCCCAGCATGCTTCCAAATACCTTTCAGCTTTTTTGGCCCAGTGTTTCGATATTGAGAAGAAGATTTTTAAAACATTTTCCATTATATTTCAATGTAAAAATTAAATTCCCTGTTGTGGGCCCATCCTACCCCAAGGGTCATGATTTGAACAATTTAGAATTAACACCACCTCAGGAAGCTTCCACATAAGTTTCAGCTTTTCTGACCCAGTGGTTCTTAAAAAGAAGATTTTTCCATTATATTTCAATGCTAAAACTTTGATTCCCTATTGTGGCCCTACCCTACCATCGGGGGTCATGATTTGAACAATTTAGAATCTACACTACCCAAGAGGTTTCCACATAAGTTTCAGCTTTTCTGGCCAGTGGTTCTTGAAAAGAGGATTTTTTTAATGGCCCCACCCTATTTTTGTCTTTTTTTTATCATCTCCCCTTGTAAGGGGGCTTAAAAATTTAAACTTCTCTTTACCCAAGGATGCTTTTTACCAACTTTGATTAAAATTGACCCAGTAGTTCTTGAGAAGAATTGAAAATGTGAAAAGTTTACAGCTTGGGTGGACAATGCACAAAGATCAGAAAAGCTCACTTAAGCTTTCAGCTCAGGTGAGGTAAAAAATTACTGGTGAATTTTTTTGTTACTTGAATTCAAATCATGGACCTATAATTAATAAAGGTCCCAGCTAGGTAAAAGAAAACCTTTTATATCAAATTCATATTCCATGTCTTTGTTTTTTGACCCAGCATGACCTTTGTCCTTATGACAACCAGGAATCAAACTGCCTCATGGATCTTGCCTTTGCTTGTCCTCATTCACAAAATAACCACATTCATCTTGACTGTTATTTTTATGATTATGCAGATTTGAAGCATTTCATACTTCACAGTGTCAGGGCCCTGACATGTGGCAAAGAAATTTTTGTTGTTGTTTGTTTTGTTTTGTTCTACAAAAAAAGAGGGGAGGAGGAAAAATAAATATACAGGTGACTCTCGATCTCTCGAAGTTCAAGGGACCGCAAGAAAATTTCGAGAGATCGAAGGGTTCGAGAGATAGAAAGTGAATAAAATCCGAAAATTTAAGTTCCGATCATCATTGTTCTACTATTACAAATACCGGAAGTATATGTTGATAATGTAATTGCACGTTTTCGTTCGTATTTTACAGGTAATTCACTTGATTTCAACAACAATGATCGTATTTTGAATAAATAAAACGATCTATTTAAGTGTCAATATATATTTGTTCACATTTCATGATTACATGAAATTTGAATAGCAATCGTCAGTGTGGCTACCCCCGGACTTGATCGGGTCTTTCTCCATGTCGGCCCTATCCAGGTAAATCCAAGCTGCAATAATTTTACGCTTGATTGGCGTGTACACAGGCGCAATCAAAACTTCGAGAGATAGAGAGTAAAAAAACAATGAAATGTATGTAACGGGACCCAGGTCTTGGTTCGAGAGATAGAGAACTTCGAGAGATGGGAAGTTTGAGAGATCAGAAGTGAATTTGCTTAGTTATATAGAGGGAAAAAACGGGACCGGAGGTTCACTTCGAGAGATCGAGAACTTCGAGAGATCAGAGTTCGAGCCATCGAGAGTTACCTGTATTGATTGATGTCTATGATTCCTAATTGCACCCAATTGTCAATGAATTCTTTATTATTTTCTTTCCTAAAACATTTGTATTTCTGTATATTTGATCTGTCTTTGGAATGAACTATCAGTAAAAATAAAGAATACCTCATTATTAGACTGGTTATGCCCGTCTCTCTACACACCGGTATATCGTGCATCTCAGACAGGCAAGGCCAGTCTAACCTCCATAGTGGCTATAGCATTTAAATCTCGGTTAAATTAATTAAATTGTGTACATAAAATAAACTTTAAATTATGCATTTCTGGAAAGGTACAGATAACCTTATGTACACATCACATATTTTTTTGCACTTTCAAAATATCTTATTTCATCATTGAACATTAAATTTGTTTATCAGCTCACATCACAGGAAGCATGCACTTTTAATACAAGTAAATGTAATGTACCAGATCGGGGTTTTTTTCCCCATATTGTAGGAAAAATTGACTGTGAATTAAATAATGATATTTTGATCACTGAAAAGGCAAGCATTTAATTTCTGTCTCACATAATAACAAAACTATCTTTTACTTTACAAAATTATATATTATTATAGACTAATTTATCAATAAAATTTAGCATGTTCTTTTATAAGACTTTAATTTTTCAGTTAATTCTGCATTATTTCTTTTCTGCAATAAATCCAAATGATTCACCTCTTCACCAAGAAAAGCACATTCATAACCTGTAAAAGTGAAATGTTTAAAAGAAATTTTGGCATTTATTCTTGACGATCGTCTAGCAGATGCACAAAATCTGTTCAATTCAGAAAGAATCTGCCTAAATTGTTTTAATTCACTTTGAAATCCAAGTCCACCATTTTGTATTTTTAATTCCATTTTTTCCCGAAAATGGTCGTACAATTTATAGTCTACAGAGCTCCATTCTCTATGTATGTTTTTAATATATTGTGGATAGGCATCCTTTGCATAACTTCCGACATTTGATTTTTTGTACACAATTTCTTTAAATGACCAACTCATTAGTCTCTTCAGAAATATCATGGATTCATCAAAATATTCCACTATCATAACAAGTCCGAATTCCCTGTCCAATTTCTTAATGTACTCATTAGCCAATACCTCGTTTTGTGAATAGTCTGCCCGACTTTGTGGAAACCCTAAAGGCATTCCTAAACAATGTGACAGTAGATTTTTGGTAACCGAAAACCCGTCAGGGATGCAGTACCTATATGGACGAGATTCATGACTTTTATATATGGATTCATATTTTTCTATATTCTTTAAATATTCCTCTTTTGGGTCCTGTGCTTTGATGCCTACTATTTTGTCCACTTTGAAATAGTGAAATGTTGACTTGAAGTGGTTCCAAGGTTCCCTGATAATTGTGATGAACGGAGTGTTTCGTGGAAACAGTGGCTCCATGATTGTTCGGTTGTATATGGCATGTTCAATGAGACAGTTAAATTTCTCCTCTGAAGGCCTGTAGTCTACTTCATCCATCAAATAAGGCCAGCCTAGGTAGATGTTGCTGTCCCTGGGGAGGACAACATTTAACCTACGGGTGAATGCATATCGACGTAGTGCACCTGCCACTGTTTGAGTTGCACACTTCATGCACTTAATGAAAACAAAATTGTCTCTTTCACCTTTATATTTGATGTTGTCTGCTACAAATTTATTCCAGTAGCCCACACGTTCATCTTGACGGAAGAGTGTCTCTGAATTTGGGGCAGAGTCCTCAATAGCCTTATTATCTGAATCATCTGGAGTAGTCTCCCTTATATCCAATGGTAAACGTCGAGTTAACAGAATCAAGCTAATCAGAAAGAAGACAACAGGTACGACTTTCCTGACAATAAAACGGGTGGACACCATGACTTGTTAAAACTAGCAGCAGGAAAATAAGGTATGATGAATCGATCCTCTCCAATTTGAATAAATTGAAGTATGTGCAGTCCTGCCTTAACACACATCCTGACATACATGTAGAAATGAATACTTTATAATGTACATCCTGATTTGAATATTTAATGACCACTTATAGCTACTGTTTAGCATGAAAACCTGTGGTATAAATTGTGGGGAGTGTGTACCTCTTTAACACACACACACACTCACCTGGTCACATACAATCAATAAGCCAAGGATTTACACACTTATCGCAGTCCTGCTTGGATAAGCCCTTTTATAGCACCATGGTTTCTCGTCATTATACATTATATATCAGTGCCTTTAATAATGCTTTTTTCATTTGAATACAAAACTATTAGGGTATCAGATGAGGTCTATACTTGTATGTTTTGACATGTGTATGTACTGACATTACTATAATTTACGGACACAGGTAAAGTGAAAATAGGTCTTAATACAAAATAATCCCTCACTCATACCTCTAATGGACAGATGTCTTCGTCAATATAGTATACAATCAATATAAATCTTTCAAATGTTATATAAACAAATCTTGATTGTTAAAATTTGTTGATTTCTGGTATAATGGCAATAATGTATACCTTTAAGCATTGTACTCAGCAAATAAATATACACCTACATGATTGTATTTCTTAATTCACAAAAAAGTAGTTTAATTCACAAAATTTAGACATATTGATACTGTATATTCATAGTCTTGTAAACATAAGGAAGTGACAACTTTTCAGTACATGGAAGGAAGTCACAAGTACTTAAGATACTCATATTTAAACATGCACACATCTTAAAATATATCAGTTTTTTTTCACTGGGGGCAGTGGCAGGGATCTTTGGCCCCCCATTTGTGACCAAAAATATACATTTTATGATTAAGAAATCAATTTTTTGTTGTTAGATGTTGCATTTATTATATGTCCCCCTTTTTTTGTTGTTAGATATTGCATTTATTACGGTATATGTCCCCAAGACCCTTAAACCCCCCCCCCCCCCCCCCCCAACCATTCAAGAATTAAGGATCCACCACTGGTTTTAGTTAAGTAATTAGTAAACTTCAAGCATTGACAGGCTTATAGTCCACACAACGCTCCTCAGCACTTGTTAACCTTTTAGAGTAATTCCATATTTGGTAGTACATTACATTATGATTTGAAAGCATTTTATGTACATTAATGGTTCATGAAGTTGCACCATGAAACAATGGGAATTAATTTTTTATTTCAGCAATCACTTTAACTGCTTTGCACACATGGTGTGACAAAATGTTAAAAGGAACAATCTTCTTAATATAGTGCTTTCAGCACCAGACAATGAGGACTGGTTTTCTAGATTTTTTTCTGCAATTTTTATCCATTTATATCTGCCGGTAGTTTTTTTTCCAGATGTCCTTGATGTATCTTTACATGGAGATGAGTACATATACATGTACCTACAAGGGGTAAAAATTATTATTTGGGGGGAAATTTAAGGATGGTTTGACTGGACTGATTCCATAACAACTCCAATTAGATTACTAAAACATTTTTTTGGAACACAAAGCTGAAGCAAATGCATGATATAGTGACTTCTTTTTAAACAATCCCTTTGATAAATTATGAAGTCTTTCTCTTATATTGTCACTTAAAAAGCAGAGCAACAGTTTGGGATCGCTTTGCTAGATGTCCGTTCATCTGTCAGTGTCTGTCACGCTTATACTTGAGAACTTTAACAGGTAGGGATCTGATATTTTGCTTATGCATTACTTAACAAAATGGCATTTGTAAAATACCTGGATTACTGACCTTCTGACCTTGACCTGTTTTTTTTTCCAAAAAGCTCATAATCTATACATTCTTTGAAAGATGAAAGCTCAACTGTATGGTCTACATTTAGACCACACAAACCAAAATTTAAATGCACTTTGTTCGTTGTATGAAAATAAATCAAGATTGGTATACCAACTCTGGTTACTAATTTAAGTAAACTTGTCAGCTGACAATTGCAGTAATGAGTGATGCAGACTGATATCTTTCTCAAGTTATGAATCTGAAGGATTGTTGTAAACATTCATGAATAAATGAACAATTATTCCTAATAATTTCAATCTAATTATTCAGTTTAGCTTTGAGAGATGGGGAATCTTATTTTTAGTTGATTGTCAAAATTTATGAAAATATTAAATGTAGTTTCAATATCTATGGATATTTTTTTCTTTTCAGGCACATGCATGAACTGAAATGCTTATATGAGAATATATAGCAAGAGGCTCATTGGTTATAATGCTCACTGAGTCACTTTGGCCCTGCCGTTCTTCATCAGGAGTTTTTCTTTTTTAATGTCCCTCTTTTCATAAAAATTTTGACTCCATATTGTGGACCAAAATATGACTAATAATGGTTTTGTTATTCTTGAGAAGAAAATTTATAAAGATTTTTCCTATACATTCCTATGTAAAACTTGGATCTTCTAATGTGGCCCCATCCTACCCCCAAAGTCAAGATTTGAACAAACTTGAGTCTGCACTTTGCAATGATGCATTCACGTAAGTTTCATCCTCTGTGACCCAGAGGTTTTTGAGAGGAAGATTTTTAAAAGTTGCCATTAAATTTTCACCAACTCTTAATGATTTGACCTTGAAAGAGGGTGTGGTCCTCGATAGAACAAACTTGAACCCTCTTTACCCGGATGCTATGTGGAAAGTTTGGATAAAACTGGCCCAATGGTTCTGGAGAAGAAGTCAAAAATGTAAAAAAAAAAATTACAAACAGACTGACAGACAGACAACAAACACTATTCAATCAGAAAAGCTCAAAAGCCTTTGACTCAGGTGAGCTAAAAAATTTACCATAGCTTGGCTTTATTCATATTAATGTAAGCTATTTCAGGCGAACATTTGCATTCCTTGGAATAGCTTAAGTTTTAATAGTAAGTGGCAGAGCCAATTAAGATTAGCAATAAGACCAGAAGTCTCTGACAAGACTGTATCTAATTTGGTTTGTACTTACTACAAAGTAGCACTTGGATTTGAAACTACGGCATTAGCAATAAAAAGAATAATGATCCTTCATTTGTCTATTTTTGAGGTAAGTTTAACTGCAATCAGACTAAAAATGTAAGAGAAGTAGCCCTTTGAAAGAATTTTACAGAAATTTCTATTTTATTAACTAATATGGCAAGATCGTTCATTGAAATCAGACACATATACACAGAATTACATAACTTATTTTTAGTAACCATGGCAACATCTTTTATTGAAATCAAAAACCGGAAAAAAGAATTGTGTATCTCTGTGTATTCTACTTGTGTACAAAGATTCTTTGAAATCAGATTAAAACTATAGGAAAAGTGGCCTTCAGAAAGAATTTCACAGAAATTACTATTTTAGTAAGAATGGAAACACCATTCATCAAAAACCAATACATAAATTATGTATCTTAGTGTAGTCTACTTGTGTAGAAAGTTTTATTGAAATCAGACAGAAACTGTAGGAGGAGTAGCGATTTGAAAGAATTTCACAGAAATTTCTAGGATTAGTATCCATGGAAACACCATACATCAAAATCAAAAACTGATAAAGAGAATAATGTATCCTAGTGTAGTCTACTTGTGTGCCAAGTACTGAAATTGGACCAAACTGTAGAAGTAGCATTTTGAATTTTTTTTACAAACAGACCAACAGAGAGACAGATGACAGACACCTTACTTTCACACAAGATCTTATGGTCTCTGACCAGTAGAGCTTAAAACAAACAGATACTGTACACACTGCAGACTTCAATCTCTGTGATATACATGTTCAACAATGTAAATACAGGTACTGAACTTGCATAACTTGGAAAAGTTTAACTCAAATCCATCCAACATATACCATTTATACTGCAAATTTTTGGAATACAATTTACCAACACCTCTTGAGCACTGATCAATCAAAGTACTATTAACTAAACAAATGGTATTATAAACCTTGACTTAAATACTTGTAGATTCCTAAATATATGCGAGGAATAAATTATCGCGTAATTACGCGAGAAGCACCAGTCGCGAAGTAAGACTACTTGCTTTTATTTTTTTTGGTGCTTTGATGTATGTAAAATTTCTAGATAAATCACACATTCGCAAATTATTGTTCTTGCGATTTTACGCCCTTGGGCCATTTCACGATATTAAGTACTCGGGTAGAATAAGAAATTTACAGTAATCAAAGTATAAGTACAAAATGTATGAAAATTACTGGCTTTAAGACAGGGGATCCAATCCCAAATGTACCCCTTGATAGATTTATAAGCTTACTTTATTCTTGGATTCTGTGTGCTGTGTGCCTTTTCTGGGGGGAAGAGGGGGCTTTTTATGGACTCGATCTTTTTCTGAGGTTAATTTCTCTGGTTGTGTATTTTGACTTGAAATCACTTTTTCTGACTCTGCGTTTGTATTCATGAACTCTTCAAAGTCCTCTGGCTGAAATGGACGTGATCGTCTGCCATACCTCTTGTTCCCTTGCACATACTTTGGAGTCACTTCCTCTTGGAGATCTAAAAACTCTGTAAAATGAAAAATACTAGCTTTTTACATTACAGTGAATGTGCTTAGTATACATTTAAAATTTCCATGAATTTCAATTTTTGGTACATTTGTTCTTTAACAGTTCTGACTCCAGCATCTTACTACAGTAAAACTCGTTTAGTACGAACATGGATATTGCGAATTTACAGATAAAGCAAAGCTTTTTGCAATCCCCAGCGAAATTCTGAACAATTCCTTGTAAAATTTTACAGATATAACAAATTCAGATATAGCAAACTTATGGTCATATTAAACTGATTTTGTGTCCCCTAGAAGTTAAAAAATAATGAAATTTACATCTTTTATAGCGAATTTTCAAAGATCTAAGTCTTTGAAATATTGAACCGATACTAATTCTGTAAGAATTTATATTTGAAACTCAAATAATCCAAAAACTTTTCAACTCCAAGGTAAATTTTGTATTTTATACTACCCTAAATACACATTTGTAGTCATACTTGGATGAAAAAATCTATATTGCGAATTGGTTATGTATACTTTAAGAAATTTGTTATACGGATATAACGAATTATGGATATAGAAGTAAATTTGCAGGTCCCTAGAACTTTGATATAACCAAGTTTTACTGTAGAAATCCTTTTACATTTTCAGTGTACAGGAACAGTGATGCAGTACAGTACAGTGTGCAAGAATTTAATTGCAACATATATTGTAGTTTTATAGCAGAGCTTCCTTTTTATCAACATGTACACAGTATATTGCTCAGATGACAGAAACAATAACCTAAGATTGTATACAGTGCATTGCTCTGTGTAAAGGGAATAGTACTGTGTAAATGTAGGGAATGTTTTAATACCAGGTGTATCTCTGGGTGTAAATGTAGGTAATGTTTTAATACCAGGGGTGTCTCGTGGTGTAAATGTAGGGAATGTTTTAATACCAGGTGTGCCTCTGGGTGTAAATGTAGGGAATGTTTTAATACCAGGTGTCTTTGGGTGTAAATGTAGGGAATGTTTTAATACCAGGTGTGTCTCTGGATGTAAATGTAGGGAATGTTTTAATACCAGGTGTGCCTCTGGGTGTAAATGTAGGGAATGTTTTAATACCAGGTGTCTTTGGGTGTAAATGTAGGGAATGTTTTAATACCAGGTGTGTCTCTGGATGTAAATGTAGGGAATGTTTTAATACCAGGTGTGCCTCTGGATGTAAATGTAGGGAATGTTTTAATACCAGGTGTGTCTCTGGGTGTAAATGTAGGGAATGTTTTAATACCAGGTGTGCCTCTGGGTGTAAATGTAGGGAATGTTTTAATACCAGGTGTCTTTGGGTGTAAATGTAGGGAATGTTTTAATACCAGGTGTGTCTATGGGTGTAAATGTAGGCAATGTTTTAATACCAGGTGTCTCTGGGTGTAAATGTAGGGAATGTTTTAATACCAGGTGTGTTTCTGGGTGTAAATGTAGGAAATGTTTTAATACCAGGTGTATCTCTGGGTGTAAATGTAGGGAATGTTTTAATATCAGGTGTGTCTATAGGTGTAAATGTAGGGAATGTTTTAATACCAGGTGTGTCTCTGGGTGTAAATGTAGGCAATGTTTTAATACCAGGTGTCTCGGGGTGTAAATTTTGGGAATGTTTTATTACCAGGTGTGTCTCTGGGTGTAAATGTAGGCAATGTTTTAATACCATGTGGCTCTGGGTGTAAATGTAGGGAATGTTTTAATATCAGGTGTGTCTATAGGTGTAAATGTAGGGAATGTTTTAATACCAGGTGTATCTCTGGGTGTAAATGTAGGGAATGTTTTAATACCAGGTGTGTCTCTAGATGTAAATGTAGGCAATGTTTTAATACCAGGTGTGTCTATAGGTGTAAATGTAGGGAATGTTTTAATACCAGGTGTGTCTCTGGGTGTAAATATAGGGAATGTTTTAATACCAGGTGTCTCTCTGGGTGTAAATGTAGGGAATGTTTTAATACCGGGTGTGTCTCTGGGTGTAAATGTAGGGAATGTTTTAATACCAGGTGTCTCTCTGGGTGTAAATGTAGGGAATGTTTTAATACCGGGTGTGTCTTTGGGTGTAAATGTAGGGAATGTTTTAATACCAGGTGTGTCTCTAGATGTAAATGTAGGCAATGTTTTAATACCAGGTGTGTCTATAGGTGTAAATGTAGGGAATGTTTTAATACCAGGTGTGTCTCTAGATGTAAATGTAGGCAATGTTTTAATACCAGGTGTGTCTATAGGTGTAAATGTAGGGAATGTTTTAATACCAGGTGTATCTCTGGGTGTAAATGTAGGGAATGTTTTAATACCAGGTGTGTCTCTGGATGTAAATGTAGGCAATGTTTTAATACCAGGTGTATCTCTGGGTGTAAATGTAGGGAATGTTTTAATACCAGGTGTGTCTATAGGTGTAAATGTAGGGAATGTTTTAATACCAGGTGTGTCTATAGGTGTAAATGTAGGGAATGTTTTAATACCAGGTGTGTCTCTGGGTGTAAATGTAGGAAATGTTTTAATACCAGGTGTGTCTCTGGGTGTAAATGTAGGCAATGTTTTAATACCAGGTGTGTTTATAGGTGTAAATGTAGGGAATGTTTTAATACCAGGGTGTCTATAGGTATAAATGTAGGCAATGTTTTAATACCAGGTGTGTCTCTAGGTGTAAATGTAGGGAATGTTTTAATACCAGGGTGTCTATAGGTGTAAATGTAGGCAATGTTTTAATACCAGGTGTGTCTATAGGTGTAAATGTAGGCAATGTTTTAATACCAGGTGTGTCTCTAGGTGTAAATGTAGGGAATGTTTTAATACCAGGTGTGTCTATAGGTGTAAATGTAGGCAATGTTTTAATACCAGGTGTGTCTATAGGTGTAAATGTAGGCAATGTTTTAATACCAGGTGTGTCTCTGGGTGTAAATGTAGGCAATGTTTTAATACCAGGTGTGTCTCTAGGTGTAAATGTAGGGAATGTTTTAATACCAGGTGTGTCTCTAGGTGTAAATGTAGGGAATGTTTTAATACCAGGTGTGCCTCTGGGTGTAAATGTAGGGAATGTTTTAATTTCAGGTGTGTCTATAGCAGGGATGGGGTAATTGAAAAAAGTAATTGTAATTGACTGTAATTAATTACATTTTTTGAAGTAATTGGAAGTAATTTGTAATTAAACATTTTTTCAATTACTTGTAATTGTAATTTAATTAATTACACTGAAAAAATACCATGTAATTTCAATTACTTTTTCAATTACATTCAATTACTTTATATAATACACATTCATGATATATTCATGATATATCATCACCACTACCTCCCCATTTTACTGGTTTTTATTTTATTGTTAAACATTTCCTCAATCCTTCATTTATACAAAATCTTAGGTTAATGCTTACAAAATAATTAAATGATTGGCTTGATGATAATAAACTAGTTTCTTTCTAATCATTATGTAAATTTTGAATTTTTTGATCTATGTTTATATATAAATATGAATTTTGAACCACCTATCTTAGGTCTATTCAGCTATGAAACACACATTTATTATATTTCAATCTTTGTTGTTTGATCAATAATAAAGAAAAAGAAGGTGTGTGTCATTAATTAAGTTCTCTCTTGTTGGGAAGAGATAATTGCCCTCCAGATCACAGCTTTCAATTGCAATCAAAACAAATCAACTCCTCTAAAGAGATATTCATTACATGATTTAGAAGACAAAGCCAATGAAGAAAATTATTTCAATTTAAAATGCTCCGCTAGCTTTAGGGAAAAAAAACCTTTCAATTTGATAATTATTTTAACATCTAAACAGATTTTTATGAATGAATTTTCTATCTGTACAATTCTGATTTATGAAGTAAAATTGTTCAACATAAATAGCAATTTAGGATGTTCAGGTTACCTTCAAAGGAAATATTTAATTTGAGGGGTTACAGTTGCGACTCATTTCACTCTATTAAAATACTCACTTTTAATCAAATATCATAAGCCATGCAATTTGTGTACATGTAGGTTTTGTGTGGTGGAAACTGCATCAAACTGATCTCGGATAGTTCTTTAAGGAGATTCTTATTGTTTTGTAAATAAATTTTATAAAATTTAATTAAACCAGAACAATACACAATGCCTATAGCATATTATTTCTTGTACTGTTTGTGCAGAGGCTGAGCTTATATACAAATAAATGATGTTCTGTATATTCATTGACAAGGATTATAAAAATTTTCAAAAAATAAAAAATGTAATTTGTAATTTAATTAATTACTTTTGCAAAGTAATTGTAATTTAATTAATTACATGTCTTAGAAAGCCTGTAATTTAATTGTAATTTAATTGAAGAAAAAGTCAAAGTAATTGTAATTTAATTAATTACTTTTTAAAGTAATTGACCCCATCCCTGGTCTATAGGTGTAAATGTAGGGAATGTTTTAATACCAGGTGTGTATAGGTGTAAATGTAGGGAATGTTTTAATACCAGGTGTGTCTCTGGGTGAATTCTCCTCTTTTGTTTCCTCTTCCTGGTGTTTTTCTACCCCTTCATTTTCTTCTTCACCCTCCTCCTCGTGTAAGTCATCACTTTCTTCGTCCTCAGCATCCTCAAACTGGTCAGCATCCATAAACTGCTCGTGTATGCTCGCACTAAGGCTGACGTCATTCTGCTGTTCTACACGCTCGATAGTCGACTGGCAGAGAATGTTCACGAAATTCTCCTTAAAATGCTCGAAGTCAATCTGAAATTGTCAGTTATTAAAAAAACTTTTATCAAATAATTAGTAATTTCAAATTCATAAGAAGAAGGAATAAAGATCCTATTATCAAAATTGTATGAAATTTATGCTTAATTTATGCATGCAGGGTCTACAGGAGAATGCAGCTAATATATCATTATTGCATAAAGATGTGCAAAGAATGATTATTATTGGATAAATGTGTAAAGATCAAGTGACCTATTTAACACATACAGATTTTGTTTTCTACGAAAATGAGAGGGCCCAAGGTCCTTCTCACTTTGAAAGTCATCAATCATTTAATACAATTATGTAATAATGACAGACTAAAGTATTGACTTGTTTGATACACATTACAAACTTCATAGAAATTCAGTCCAGGCTAAACACCATTTCAATCATTTGTCAAAAGTAAAATCATTTCTTTTTTACCTGTAACTCCATGGTTTTTTTTCAGTGAGAATTTATTTCTTCTGGGCATGGATACTTCTCATCCATTAATACTATTCTGATACTGTGACACTGACCTTATATCCAAATGAACTTGCCTCAGAGTCATATATTACATAACTTTTTAACACATAAAAACCTATATAATTAGCAATTAGCCTCTTCAATTCTTGTTTTCCTAAGTTATGGCATTGAGATCGGTTCTTATCAACTTATGAACTGGAACTCAAAATTTTCCTAGAACTGCACATTGGTGATTAGCATTTTTTATTTTGGACTTAGACTTGTACTCCATTTCAGAGCAATATACAGATTACTATTTGATTAAGACTAAAATGTTTCACAATCCTAGACCCAGAACAATTTTTTAATTTTTTTTTAATACATTTGAAGCCTGTGACCTTGTCTGAATGACGATACGATGTAGTCACAAACAAGATGTGGATCTATAACAGTAGTAAGACTCGGGCTGGAGAAGAGTTTTTTATCACCCACCTCATCACATTCAGCATTGTCTATGAGGTGATCCACAATGTCCTCCGCCTGCTCGTCCAGCTGTAGTTTGTGACAGAGGGCCAGAAGTTCGCTACGACTGAGGTAGCCACGATGGTAGATGTCACAGCTATCAAACACTTCCTTCAGCTGTGCGATGTACAGATCCACATCTTCCACCTCATCCACATTCATTGCTCCACTAACTCATCCACCTTGTCTATTTAAAAAAAAAAAAAAAAAAAAAACATGCATATTTGTACAAAAATTTTAATATTAACTAGAGTTTCAGTCGAATTTCAAAATGGGGTGAATTCAAGGAAAGATATAGTTATCTCAGTCACTATTACAACTCTGTCAGGGCAAATTTAGAAGGGGCAAAATCATTTGCAGTGAGAAATTGTGTGAAAATAACATGGGGCAAAAATTAACCCTGTACACAGTATATACATGTACATGTATCTATATGATTTTTATGATAACATGCATAAAGTTTTCTCCCATATTGATCTCTGACAAATTGAAAGTATTCACTCTTTGGGCAATTGAAGATGACAAGAGAGCCATAGTTCTTGACAGTCATCTCAATATGTCAATCACTTTTTATTCAAAAGAACTTTATTTTCAAATAATTACGCGAGACCGTCTGCTCACAAAAATTTTGTTCTTGCAAAAATTTTTATAAGTATAGATAATATACAGCAATAACCAGAATTCGTTAAATTTTTTCCTGCTTATAAGTACCAAGTACATAAGGTCTCACCAAAATTTGGTGATCTACAGTACTGTATACAGGGAAATTTTCACCCCAGATTTATTTTCACCCCTTTCATCCTAGCCACAGGTGGGCAAATTCAAACTGAGTGAATTCAAAGTACACAGTATAATTTCTTAAACAGAATTGTGTCTGGGTGAATTTAAAATGGGGCAAAATTGTTTGCAAGCGCAAAAGGGTGAATATAACAAGGGGTGAAAATAACCCTGTATACAGTATTATGAAACAATTATATTTGACAAATTCCTTATAACTAACCATCGATCTTTTATTATATAACAAAACACAGAGCATTCAGTTGTTTTTGTATTACTACTTATACCCCTAAAAAAGTTATTTTAAGATTACCCTATCCTTTTCAAAAGTCCTAGAATATAGTCTATGACCACTCAAATTGAATTTTAATTCTAAAAGTGGCCTCTCAGAATACCTGCTTATCAAGTTCATTTTTTTCACTTGATGCTTAAAACTAAAGAATAATTTTACAGTTATAAAGCATTATCCTACCTCCAACCTGATGCCTGAACCCTACAAAAAGGGGACATTTAACTGGTCATGACAATTTTCTCCCAAAATCCTAGAAAGATGTTCAGGGAAGAAAAAAGCTCATTACAGAAACCTTGTTTACCATGCTGACCCACAATGCACTATAAAATCATGGTACAAAAGAAATTCTGAAGATCTTTTTTGACTGTTGATATAGAAATATGTACTACGCAGAAAAAAACATCTACATCACAATTAAGTCACACATTTGCATTTTCAAGACAGCAGTTAAAGGGAGACAACTCAAAAAGAATTCCTGAACTTAATTGATACATTAATTTCAATGATTTCTTACAATTAATCAAACAATAATGAAATCTTCAAACACATTTCACTAATTAGTTACTAGGAAAATTGAGTTCTATATAAGAACAGAACTGATGGAGACTTACAGACAGACACAACCATAGTTCCTACTCTGATACGAATGTAATCTATGTTGCACTCAACTGTCTGCTTTTATCAGCAGATAATCTGGTAAAATTTTAACTTCTGTTGAACAAAATTTACCTTTGTTTACCTACAGTATATCACTCTCTCTTTCTTGGTAAGGTCAATCCTTTTTCCAAACCAATATCATACTTTTGGGGGACAAAAACCTTATCTGATCTCACTTTGATCTAAGACTTTACCCTGTCTCGGTCCTCTCTGATCATATTTTAAGTCAATCAAAAGATAATGTATACCAATGTATGATAGATGCCCTGCATGTAATATTTACTAATATATCACAAATACCACCCTCAGTGATAAAAAGCACAGCTGCCCTACTTGAACTTGTTCTAAAGGTCAATTTAGATAATATTTCACAGTTCTTTTAAAGAAATGAGCACCGAACTGCATGATAATAGCTACTTTAATATGTTAAATTAATATCCTTATATAGTCATCTGTTTTAGTCATTTTGCAGCTTGTACAATTTATTTTTTTTTTTTTCAGTTTACACTTAGGAAATGTTCTAGTCTTTATTTGATGAAACTCTCTCTACACTATCTTGACAAAATAATACAGTATATGACTTAAATATATAAAGATCACGGCTATAAATAAATAAAATTAGCATTTCAAATTATCGTATATACTCGTGTATAAGTCTGTCCGCCTATAAGTCGGTTGTATTTTTTGCAGTTATTTTTGAGCGATTTGCCATTGACCTACTTATAAGTCGGTACAACTTTTTTGCCAGAATAGGTTGACAATATCAAATAAATGCTTGTGTTTTAACCTGGTCCAACCTTTCCACTCGACTTTTTCTGACAAAAGTTTCAAACAATTCTATAACAATGGCTTGTACTTATGAAAGAGTTTACTGTTAATATTACAAATGCATGTTTGATCTAAAATACCAAATTTATTTAGTATGTATCTAAAATACATTTTTTTGTTTTAATCTGGAATTGTTTTCCATTTATTTCCAATATCCATTAAGTACAAGTCTATATAATTTCTACCTTTCTGATGATTTGAACTCCATTCCTTTTCTTTTTCCCATGAAGACAATCAGCTGGGTCATTTCACCATCTTTACATCTTTGTAATTCCTGCTTAAAATGAATGTATAGAATAAGTTACATGTATGTAACATATTACATTAGGTGTTGGTGACAATCAAATCCATATCTTTAATTAAGTACTGAATTCTTCACAACGGTTGTGTTAAAATCACACCAAATACACAACACAGATCATGTTAAGTTAGCATAGCTTGGATTATTATCAACATGAAGCTGTTTCAAGCTCTAAGTATTTAATGAAGATAGGATTGAAATCTGATGGCACTGGGTGACATATTCTATTGTTTTCAGAAAAATATAGTGTTGACAACATAACTTGGACAAACTCATCCAGAAACACGACACACCTAAAAAAAATCCCTACAGTGGCAAAAAAATTGACATTTTTGGATAACAAGTCCATTAATGTGTTTTAAAATCTAACTCTTCCGAGTGATCACAATAGATAAATTAACATTCCTATCCTATTTCAGTTTGTGTTGGACTGTTAAATAGTTCAGGTGTTGATTTAAATTACAACTATAAGGGTATTGTGTTATTTTTCTAATGATCCTGAAAGTGATCAATTTCTGGCTGTGCTAATTACATCTGACCTATAACCATATGTGTATAAGAGGTAAATAAGATTACAACATTAAATCCCTTTCTTCTGAGTAACAGTGGAGCGAGATAAGTCAACATTATCCAAATTATCAAAACTGATTGATTTCTATTGAAGAGGTCTCTGAGTGTACATTGTATAATGCATTTTGACCCGACCTGCACAAATCAATTGGTAACAAAGTATCAAGGAACTTACATCATGTAGCATTGTTGAAAGTTGAGTGGGAATCCAGAAAAATAATTGACATCTTATCTAAAAAAAAAATGTTTGTTTGTTTTTTTTTTTTCAACATTTTTCAAGAAAAAAAAATTTCATCCATGATCATAACAGCTAGGATTTGACCTTCCTACAACAACCTGCCTTTGATTTAACATTTTTATACTAAATTAACAGTAAAACATACTGTTCGGGGAAAAATTAACAGTAAAACATACTGTTCAGAGAAAAAGCCCCCCCCCCCCTCCCCAATACAATACTACATATCTGGTATCTGCATGCTGATTCAATATTCAATTTTTTTTTTAAATAAGATTATTGTATTCTCAAAAGATTTTAAGAATAAATGCATTGAAGATTTCTCTCTTTTTTTGATAAGTTGTCATACAGTAATACAATATACATCACAAGAATATGGGTAAATATTTTCATGAAAATTAAAAATACTCAAAAGACAAAACATTTTTAACAACATATGATGTAGTAAACTCCAATGTACAGATAATGACATCTTATTGTTCAACATACAATCAAATACATTACCTTGTGGTTGAAAGAAATGACAACCCAGTGACCTTGTACAATGTACTACATACATCACCGAAGCCAGACCACAGAAAGAAAATTTTTAATTTTTTTTTTAAAAGAAGATCGAGACATAAAAACTTTACCTTACTTGTTAAAATCACTGACTTTTTCCAATTCAATACATCAAAATTAACAGCTCTGAATTTTCCATTTGTGGGTGATTAATGATTCGGTCAATACCAGCCTGACTGGCCATTCATTATCAATTTATCTGCTTCATAATTCAATTGTCCTCATGATACACCTGTTACACAATCTATAACAAAGCCATCAAATGCATTAAAGTATATACTGACCTCGATACGCTCGTTAGTGACGAAGCAATAAATCGTTAACTGATAATCAATCCTTTGCCATTAGAAGTCAAAAACTTCCCCATTTCCATTTACTCTCCTCAAGATAAATAAATTACACTTTAATTTTTACAAAATTTTCTTGATTAATCCATGCACAGTAGCTAAAATAAAATGCTCCACATCAAATTTAAACAAAGATTTGCACATGCACAATCAATTGAACACAGACACCTCAAAGTCCATAATAGCTAGATCATCTTTTCTACTCTGCTAAACATTTCATTTTATTTTATTGACCTCAATATTTCACTTTTTTTTCTTTGTTGAAATAAACTTACATGTAATCTTGGGTTTTTAAAAGTTAAACATAATCTGGATTACTCAATCTTAGTGTTATAGCCATCATTTCAACATGTATTGTCTAAACATGGGGAACTAAAATATTTAAATCTTAATCTTTACAAATCTTAAAGTGCCTGAAATGTGTGTGCTTTTAAAATGTTATGATAAATAAAACTTATTATCAACAAATTTAATATTCATACCTTGACATTATCTTTTTTTTTTTTTGGGGGGGGGGGGGGGGGAGGGGCACTGAAATGATCAGTCACATGCCTAGTCACATTTTAATCTCTTTTTCAAAATAAAAGTTAATTTAGTCCAAGAACTCATGTTTCACAGAAAAATCTGAATGCCCTATCTTGGTTAAGCAACCCTTCAGCTTCCAAACTTGTCTTCTCATCTTCTTGTGGATTCAGTAAAACATGTACTCAAAAATAACTGTTAATTGAATTACAGCCCTTGAATATAGACATCTAATTCAATATTCTAGATATATATTTTACAAATAAAAATTGTTTTAATTTAATTTTACACTGGTATATACAGTCAAGTTGGTATATTAAAAATATAACATATTTCTCAAAGTAAACATTAAGAAAAAAAATTCTCATACACATATTTTTTTTTTAAAAATGTGAATTTCATGTCTGGCATTTTTTCAAACTAAAAACTTTGCCCATGTAATAATCTAAGCTGGTGAATTTCATACATCATAATAAGAAATGCCTGCTCAGCTACTGGCATATTATGAAACCAAATAATCAATAACTTCTGAATTAAAAATGTCAATTCTTACCAAGAAATTAATTTGTCAGCATATTCCACTCCAACACAAAAATCTTCAAAGATTAACCATTACATATCTTAAGACACAATAACCCAGCCAAAGAATTTGAATGCATTGAATACACAAATATCTATATCAGACCCAACTCTAGAAGTCTTAATAAGCCACATAAATCTGATAATCTCCAATCTAGTCTTTGTCTAATATCAACATTTTTTTAAAAAATACCTCACATTGCAATGTGTTTAAACTTGAAAGTCTAAAGAGATCAATAAGTGAAAATCTTATGGTTAAATACCACTTAACATATTGTTTTAAACCCCCTTCTAGGACAATTAATTTTGAGAAAGAAATTGAATTTTTGTGTTAATGACATTTCTGAGTAATTGGATACCATGCTTATTGAATCAGAACTCTGCAAACAAAGAGATTTTTGTGCCTGATTGACCAACACATTACATGATGAATATACATCTACCCATGTCATTGTTTTATCCAATTAGCTTATCTCGCCAGATTACAGTACATCTCATTCGTGTGTGTAAAGTCAACATATAACACACAATGAAAACATTTAAATACCTTGATCAAACTCGGCTGTGCATAATTAACTTTGTGCCCCACTTTATTGACATTCAGTCATTGTATATATCTTATCTTCACCTTTTTTTTAAAAACCCTCACTCTTAAAAATCTATGCCAAAAATGCCATATATATTTCTATGCTCGTTCATTTTCAGGAGCCATATTACATCATGTCAGTAAAGCAGGAAAATACAAATTCTTACATTTCTTAAGTTCACTGAATGACTGTAATTCTGTAATTATTGGATGAACAGCTATGATGTGACAGAACTTGACGACATGCTGCATAGACTGTCTTTCCACCCAAGGAAGATCCACCCACTGAAAGACCTCGACCAATCTCTGACAAACAGTCTCCACAAGTGCCTCTTCTGAAGATCATGGCTTTACTTCCTAAACAAGTTATCCTGTCAACCATTGAAATAATTCTATATAGCAACAAATGACAGGCAAGGCAGAGAAATCAAACACCTGTACACTAGCTGTGACAGAGGGACTTGCTTCTGATGCATAAAATATATTTCATAAAAAAATTATATCCAAAAAATCCATAAGAGTACTTTCGGTTATGAATTTTTTACAAACCAGAAGTAAGCCCATGAGTAAAGATTCATATAAAGACAGGTAGAACAAACATGTATTGTTTTTAAAAGTTAAACCATGCAGTATTACAACCAACTCCATAATAAGTCATTGAAGAAAATCAACTCCACACCCATTCACCATTTTTATTCACAGGATTTGTTGTTGTCTCCATGCAACAATGTGACTTAGCAGGCATGTCAAGGACAGTGTCCAGTTGGGGGCCTGGAATCAAAGCCCTCTCTCCTCCTGAATATCGGCAATTTAAAGAATTTCATTTTAACAATTTACCTTTATTTAATCAATGTATGACTGTGAAAAAATGCATCTAATTTCTTGTTTTTGTTTTTTTAAAGGAGGGCATGAGTCTGGAGCACCCCACCTGAATCTGTGCCTGCTGACTGTACATTTAGAATACATAAGTCTGAACAGAATTTACAATCAGACTACCGAGGTACTTTAGTCAGAATGAACTGATTATCCTTGTAATACCAAATTTAGAAATTTATGGGTGTTTATAAGAGAGTTAACATAAATGAGTATTTATTGCTAAAATAAAGTTGCATTTGTTGTCACTTTTTGCCATTACATAGCATTGACATAATGCTTCAATTTGTTGTTTCCAATATATGTATTGGATTATATGTATTATAAGTTGCTTTATCAATGTGCATGATGGCTCTTGAATATCACCTGATTATTATCAGATTATTTCCCATGGCCATGTGTTCAAATTTCATGGTGTACGGTAAATCTGGTACACATGTAGGTCTTCATAGAATAAACGGGATCGGGAACATGAGAAGTCCGAACTAGAAGCAGTCTTCAACTGTCTTAGCAAATTTTCTCGTTAAAAGATCACAATATAGGGAATTTTTCATAATAATTCTCCATTTTAAGTGTAATAAATTTCATAATTGTATTCAATAATTCATACTTGCTTAAATAATAAATATAAAGAGTCCAATATTCAACTCTCTATAAAACTAAAGTGAATCTCCTGGTCCAGCACGCTGCAAG